AAGCTGCGTTAAACCCAACTCACTCACTCACTCACTCCTACAACTGTCAGAATACCATATTTCTTCAATTAAACGCCACCCTCAATTAAACACTGGTACGTGCTACATGAAAATAATGAGGACCAGGTTGTTTTTACATAGCGTGAGTTTTTACATGTACCCCATAGTATTTCCACTTCTGTATGCATACAACACATTGTCCCCACTAAACAGAAACATTTTAGAGACCTTTTGAACAATGCTACCGTAGATGGGTCTGAGCTAACCTTTAGTCATTAAAATTATGAATGCTTGGCCCAAACGCCGAGGGTAAAGAGTGTATGAAAGAAATATTCACCCAGGCGTTTAATGGATGAAATACGGTACTCATTTTAGTCACTTAACAATCTTCTGTCTTTGTATCAGTTTATGGATACTCTGTTGCATAATTTGTGTTTAGTCATGTTTCTTCCTTACTTATAAAACTGTTCTTAAATTATATTGATAAGATGTTTAGTATCTTAAAAGTCATTGTGCTCATTCAACTGATTGTCCTGACAGTGATTCTGTTGATTGTTATGAATATTAGACTAGAATAACACACAGCATAAATAAAATCAGAAGAGCATATCTGAATATAGTTTATTTATTGTGCAGTTTGTACATGCATTGTATGATATATATATTGCCTGTGTATATGCTCTGTAATTATTGTACAGTGTACAGACATTGTAAATAAATGACATTCTTGAACCATGTAGTGTATTGTCATGCAGCTAGTGTCCTCTGGGAGGCTGAGGGGGGCATGGGTGGCCCAGTCGTCTAAAGAACCGCGATTCGCTGTGCAGAGTTGCGTCCCTTGGGCACGCCAGAAACCTATGATTGTGGGTTCAAATCCCTGTTTGTCCCGATTATGTTTCTAGGTTTGTCAGTACCATACTCGTGCTCGTGGGTTTCACCGAAGTGGTAAACTTCTGAGACCTGCATCACTTCGGGCTTTCCTCCCACATGAAGCTGACACGCCATGATATAACTGGAATACTGTTAAAAGCGGCGTTAAACCCAACTCACTCACTCTGGGAGGCTGAGATACTCCCATGTGTCAGTGGCCATCAATCATAAAACGCTTTTGTTTTATTTGATAAAACAGAGGGCAGAACTCCAATAGAAAACAGGTTTAAACCAAATAATATAACATTGCATTAAATTTGGTCATTCGTCAGATCAATGTTTTATTATAGCAAATTCATTGAAAAAAAGACTGTGGTCTTGTAGTAGTGCATCTGCCCAGAGAGCGGAAGGTCCGGGATTCGTTCCCTGGCCGTGTCATACCAAGAGACGTTAAAAGATGGTACTTGTTGTTACCCTGTCTGGCGCTCAGAATTAAGGAGCTAAAACAAGGACTGGTCGGCTCAGAGTCAGTATACTGTGGCTGATTCGGGTATTCATGTTAAACTCTGGCATGGTATCTCAGTGGGCAGGCACTATAAATCGGCATCAGTCGAGACTAGTACAAACAGACACACACACTCACACACACAGACACACACACACACACACACATGCACATCGCTTTGTGAGTGCAATAATCTGGAACGAAACGTTAAACCCCAGTTCACTTCACCTCGTTGAAAAAAAAAACCACCCAGAGGGTGGTGTAACAACTCAAGATGTCAATATCAGATGTCAATACCACCATTTGCCTTGGTACAGCCAAGGACGCGGTGTCGCGTTGAAGACACCAAATGATTGAAAACAGCCTGGGGAATGTTCCAAATGTCAAGCAAAGATTGGCCCAATAGAGCAAGCATTACTGGCTGGTTCTGGTCCTGTCGTAGACGTCGTTTCATCTCATTCTAGTCATGTTCTATGAGGTTGGTTGGTTTGTTGTTTTACGCCGCACTCCGCAATATTCCAGCTATATGACGGCGGTCTGTAAATAATCGAGTCTGGACCAGACAATCCAGTGATTAATATCATGAGCATCGATCCACGCAATTGGGATACGATGACATGCATCAACCAAGTCAGCGAGCCTGACCACCCGATCCCGTTAGTCGCCTTTTACGACAAGCATAGTCGCCTTTTAGGGCAAGCATGGGTTGCTGAAGACCTATTCTACCCCGGATCTTCACAGGCTTGTTCTATGAGGGAGAGGTTTTCTCTGGACCTGTTCTATGAGGGAGGGGGCGGTCGGGTAGCCTAGTGGTTCGATTCCCGACATGGGTACAATGTGTGAAGCCCATTTCTGGTGTCTCCCGCCGTGATATTGCTGGAATATTGCTAAAGGCGGCGTAAAAACCATACTCATTCCCTCACTCAAGAAAGGTTATTCGATTTGTGACTATGGACTATGGACTCCAAACAACAATAAACCAGTGAAAGCATTTGACATCACCACCACCAAAAAAAGCAAAGAATGTTTGAGGGAATTACGGGATGAAATTGAGACTAAGATATATGTCAGAAGCTGAGAAAAGCCTCTTCCATCAGGGCTTAAATCGGTCACTGTCGTGGCAACAATCCACGAGTGTGACTCTTTGAACTGATCTGACTCCATCACACTTCCATCTGTTTACAAGCATGAAGAATGAAGACGGAACCCATTTTGACTCCAACAATTACACAGCAGCTGTGGAGAACGTTTTGCACAACCACGAGTAGGACTTTGGGCTACGAAAAGGGGATGGCAAAAGTGTACCATTGTTGAAAGAGATTTCGCTGTGAAGAGTTGTAACCTTTAGGCTTTTCTGACACCAATGATCGCGGCTTCGAGTCGCGTGTTAGCCCTGATAATGTTTCTAGGTTTTCAGCAAATTGGTAAACATCACTTAGGTCTTTCTTCCCATATCAACCTGACAGACCGGCGTCAAAACAAAATCCCTCACTCACTCACTCGCGTACTCATGGCAAAGTAATATAAAGTGTACAGGTAGCCCAGCGGTCCAAGGTAATATCTGCTCTGAGTTGCATCCCTTAGACCTACCAGGATTCGATGGTCATAAGTCCAAGACGTTTACCACGTTGGTGAAACCCACGAGCACACGCAATAAACATATATGAGCGAAACTGAGCCCTGAGCAAAACTGCAATGATCCTAGACAATGAAATCAGACTGAATATCGCGTGCTTCTTCATTATGGCAATACTATTGCGACACATTCATATGTACCTTGTACATTTTCTTGGACTGATACGCAATTATTAATAGGTGAGGTGAAATGGGGTTTAACGTTGCGTCAAAGATTATTGCACTTATATAGCGACGTGCAAGCACGTGTATATGTGTGTGTGTGGCTGCTTGTACTAGTCCGGACTGATGCCGATTTATAGTGCTAGCTCACTGAGATACCATGCCGCAGTTTAACATGAATACCCCACTCAGACACAGTATACTGACTCCGAGCCGACCTGTCCTTGTTTTAGCCCCTTAATGCCGAGCGCCAGACAGGGTAACAACAAGTACCATCTTTTAACGTCTTTTGGTATGACGCGGCTGGATCGAACCCCGGACCTTCCGCTTGGTCCCGGACGGTCGCAATTATTAATAAAGCTCGAGTCAGTTAAATCGGTCAGACAATGCCCTGTCACAATGCATGATGACTCGTATGACAATCTTGAGGCACCTCGGATGTGGGTGCACGGGTGGCCCAGTCGTCTAAAGCGCCACGATTCGCTGTGCAGAGTTACGTCCCTTGGGCACCCCAGAAACCTATGATTGTGGGTTCGAGTCCCGGTTCGCCCCGATGGTTTGTCAGACCTGCATCGCTTCGGGCTTTCCTCCCACATTAAGCTGACACGCCGCGATATAACTGGAATACTGTTCGAAGCGGCGTTAAACCCAACTCACTCACCCACTCACCAAGGTTGTATTCTATCTCCACGAACACCGACAGAAAGTTGCATTGGTGATGCAACTCAATGACATAGTATTCTCCCACTCACTTAAATTTCAAGCAATCACAGGATGTTTACAGTTTACCTATTCTATCTTTAAAGAGTGAGTGAGTGAGTATGGTTTTACGCCGCTTTAGCAATATTCCAGCAAAATCACGGCGGGGGACACCAGAAATGGGCTTCACACATTGTACCCATGTCGGGATTCGAACCCGGGTCTTCGGCGTGACGAGCGAACGCTTTAACCACTAGGCTACCCGACCGTCCCTATATCTTTAAAGAAAGCACACCTACGATGTTGCAGCAGGTTTCATTTACTTCAACTGTTATTCTTACCTTTGGTTAATTTCTGCCAGTAGAATTAGGAATAACTGTGCGTGACTTTTGTTTTAAATATGTGACCACTCCATTCTTGAAAATCAGGGGGCACAGGTGGCCCTGTCGTCTAAGGCGCCGCAGTTCGCTGTGCAGAGTTGCGTGTTTAGGCACGTCAAAAACCTATGATTGTGGGTTCGAATCCCAGTTCACCATGATTATGTTTCTGGGTTTGTCAGCACCATACCAGTGCCCGTGGGTTTTACCAAAACGGTAAACGGCTCAGATCTATACATCACTCCAGACTTTCCTCCTGCATAAAGTGTCGTTAAACCCAGCCCACTCTTGCGCAGACAAAACGTAGCGCGTCCCAAGTCCTAGATTCAGCATATGGCTTGGGATGTTGAGAAGTGGTTGAGAGGGTTGAGGGAGTTGTAAGTTGTATTATATTTAAATGAATGAAAAATTAAACCATTATAAATACTACGATAGTTTAGCGTGGGATCGATGTCAACTATGTCATGGACTATTACGATGTATCATTTTTGGATTAGTCTTTACCTCTTTCTCATTGTCCAGCTCGAAAGGAGGAATGTCAATAAAAGAGTGATATAAGGAAGTGAGTTAGTGAGTATGGTTTAACGCCGCTTTTAGCAATATTCCAGCAAATTCACGACGGGGGACACCAGAAATGGGCTTCACAAATTGTACCCATGTCGGGAATTTAACCCGGGTCTTCGGCGTGACGACTGAACGCTTTAACCACTAGGCTACTCGACCGGCCCGATATAAGGAAGATGCGGACTTGGTGAACATAATAAACATTTATTTAACACAGAAGTAATGCATCACGAGCGTTGAAGACAAAAGCAAGAGTTGTGTGTGATTAAGGACTAAATAAAATCCCAAATTAAATGTTCTTGAATTCAGAAGGTAATATGCTTAAACAATAATAGGTTTGTGTAGTTAGATAAGAGCTATGGTCACAATGTTTAACAATCAGGACAAATGAATGGCGTTAACAAAAGTGTCTAGCATGAAAGTCCAATAAAGAACAAGCTTCTGATTTTACAACAAGGGCTTCGCTGAGAATTAACATGGGATGCTTTAAGAGAAATCACCATTGCCGCTCACAACACAAGATGGACGACGCGCTTTCATTCTGGTAACTTTCAACTTCTGATTATGGTTGTTCTCGAGCCCCTCCAGGTCCACCATCTCTTCCTCATCCTTGCGCGCAACAGACAGGTTGATCCAGCGGCCAGCAAACTTCTGGAGGATCATCTGCCTCTGAACCCTTGCCACGACTTTCAGCATGTAGTCCCGTTGTGGGTCTTTCTGGCGTAAGAGGCTGTCCTCCTCTTGGATCCGCCGCGCCTTCTCCTTGGCCGACATCTTCTCCGCCCAACGAGCCGCACAGCGGCGTCTCAGTTCCTGAAGAACAGACTCCTTCCTGTCCGACATGAGGCTCTGGAGGTGCGAGCTCTCTGCCATCTCCTGTTGTTTCAGCATATCGAATGCATGGTTGAGATCGCCCATGACGCTATCAAAATGGCTCTTCTGCGAACGGAAGTTGGGATCTTTGCTTTGTTTCTTCAAGTCCGCTAATCTCCGCCTTCGTTCATCCTCTTCCAGTCTCTTGGTGTTATTCTTATTAAACATCTGCTGTAGAGTAATCAAGGATTCATCCATCATCTCCATCATGGCGCCTTTATATTCGCTATCTGCCTCGAGCTCCTCCTCGGTATAACGAGCAAAGGCCTCCATAAGATCTTGATGGACGATGCTCCTACGGTGATTGGAATCAGCAATTCCACCCAACATGTTCTCTACGCTGCGAGACATATGAGGGGACTTCATGCAGCCATTAAAAATCTCAACCATGGCGACCTGTCTCTCCCGCTCTATTTCTATTTCCTCATCGAAATGCTTAATGTTATGTTTCCTCGTCAGCTCACAGAGGGCATCGTCCTTTACAACGGCAAGATCGTTCTTCATCTTTTCCAGTATCTCCTGTTCTAATGCCAGGCTCCGATTAATCCTATCCTGGAATTCGGCGTTTAGTCCTTGCAGGACACCGGACGCTGCTTTTTGTCGAGCCTCTTCTGATTTGACTTGCTTAAGTTGTTCTTGAGCGATCTCCCGCTCAATGGCATAAGCAGTTAAGCGGGGCGTGGCCCTATGAAGTTTGTTTGAGACAGTGATATCCCAATGCTTGCCTCCGTAAGCAACAATCTTTGGTGTGATCACAGCATGCGTGCGATCCTTCAGATGGTAGTGCCCGGTCTGACGTTTGATGCCCAGCTTGACATCACTGCATGCCTTAGCCTGCTGGAGGCCCTGCAGAAGGCCTTGGTTGAGGTAGCGGGTTATCTGAACCTCTTCTACGCTGTCGGTGTCCGAATCCTCCAAAGGATCCGGATCTTGCATTTGCTTTGACCAGATCATTGCAAGAGGCCTGGAACAAGAAAGCCATCGATGATAACTAACACGGTTCAATTACTAGTGACTGCAGTCGCTGATTTTTATCAGCCGAAGGACATTTGCAACTGTTCATAAATTTGCATATGCTGTTTTGTTTGTTGTTTAATATGCTTAAACAATAATAGGTTTGGGTAGTCAATCAGGTGATTGGTATCACGAGTATCGATCTACGCAGTTGGGATGCGATGACATGCATCAACCAAGTCAGCGAGCCTGACCACCCGATCCCGTTAGTCACCTCGCATGGGTGCTGAAGACCAATTTTAACCCGGATCTTCATGGGTGATCACATATGTAGTTCGTTGACAAATACAGTCAACGTGCGTCAACATACGTTGTTGGATCTAGTCAAGATGTGTTGTATTAATTTTAAAATTGTTTCTTGATAATAAGAAGCAGGGAAGAATTCAAGAGACCGGTAGACATTATACTTGAAAAACACACCATCAACATCCATCCAAACATGCCACATTTCAAACAAAACAGCAACGCCATGTAATTATGTCACCAAAGCATTACATACATCAATAAATATGACAAAGGGGAAATCGTTAATATCCTGGCGCTTTGACATTCACGAACTAAAAGAGTAGTACTCAAAATAAAATAATTCCAGAAATGACAGTGTATTACGGAAGCCTTTTAGAGCCATTTGCTTTTTTTTGTTGCTTTATTCTTGAAATTTCAAGGTACTAAGTTGAAATTTCAAGATACATACTAAGTTGAAATTTCAAGATACATACGAAGTTGAAATTTCAAGATAATCATCTTGAAATTTCAAGATAATAACTTCAAATTTCAACTAAGTATCTTGAAATTTCAAGAAACAAATACAAAAACAAATGGCCCTAAAAGGCCACCGTGGTGTATACATATTCCGCTGAGGTAAGGCTGTTCACCATCCTATCAGACATATAGGCAAGTGGACACGCTTGCTGCGAGAAGATGGTCATCTTCCCGAGGCAAGAGAGTTAACTGACTTTGAAAGTCCAGTTTCCACTGGAGAGAGAAGAATTATTGAGTAATGAAGAAGTGGTCAATATTTCAAACATCTGCCCGAGTCAAAAGTTCCCTCTTGCCTCTATCGAAGTGAAAACTAGACCTTGATATAGGTTGATGACACTCTTGCCTCGTGAAAATGTATTACAAATTGCTTTAAAATATGTATAAAACCCGTTACATGGTTAATTGTTTAGAAACACACACGTCTAGGAAAGTTGTTTACTTTTTAAAAATAATATTCTACTGTGATTGGGGAAATTCTTCGACTTCACCGACATTCTGGACTAAACTTTCATTTCATAATTTTGCCTCAACGGAACTAACGTTCATTTCTAAAATGTCAAACTACGTGTTTTTGTAAATAATAATTAATTCATTTCATTTTCACTTTCATGCAACCTGTCGTTTTGATTTTTTAGTTGACTATATTTTTTTATTGATTCATCAATCTGAATTGGGATAAAGCACATTATGCTTACATATCATCATCATCATCAACATATAAAATAGACAATGCATTTACAAATGTAGCATAAATAAGGAGTAACTATATGAAGAATAAAGTAATTATATCAACAAACTAATGTTATCTTTTGCTTGGACTTTTATTTATGGACTACTGCAAAAAGAACTTTATTTACCCATTCTGAAACAAAATTCGATCAATTATAAAGCATATGCCACTTTTGAGACTGTTTTTGAGAAATTATTTTAGAACGGAATTTAGTAAACCTTGGCCATTCAAGAAAATAATGAAAAAAAAAATCACTTTCTGAACCACAATCGTCTGATTGGGTCACTAAGATCTACACAAAACAGATCCGATTTCAGTAGCTTCATTAATGTCAAAATTAATGTGAATTTAAGAATATCTACTTTTCTGTCATCCCGCAAGTAGAATTGTTGCACCTTGACAGGAACTTGGTTTATCATATTCAGCACAGAATTGGTAATGAAGTCGTGTCGTTTATTTCAGTAGGAAGCGTGTACTCAAATAACTGCTGCCATAGACGAAAGAGTTCTGGAGGGTATTAGATCCAGCTTTAGAAGTTATTAAATACTAGATTAGTTTTATTTCTGAAAATACAAATGTTCTTTTGTGTTCATTCCCATAGGGGAATTGAAATAAATACATAAATGTACGTAATCTCACGCTTTCGGCCTCCCGTACTTCATTAGGTACACTCTTTTGGTTTAGAACTACATCACTAGAGATGGTCATCTTCAGATTCACATAATGTTCTATTTGTAGGAATAAGTAATGTGTTTTAAAATGTGCTGGTGAAGCCCAACTTCTGCTTATTAATCATTACATCAACTATAACGATTATATCTGTGATCAACCATCAGATGATAAAAACATTCATCGAGATCTCGTGTTTTTTATAAATCAAAAAAAGGTTTTAGAAGGCACGAAATACTCACATTGCTCTTGAGGCCAACCCAGGGTACTATGACGTCACAAGAGAAAGTCCTTATGACGTCACAAATCTCGTGCGTCAGCTTCAACAAGCTCCAGTGTTGCTTCGCGCAGAAGTTTTTTTCTCGTTTAGGATGACAGGAGCCCAGTCAATCGTCACCTCAGTAAATAATTTTGGCAAATAATAATTTGAAACAAAAAACAGCGGAATGTAACCCATAGACTTTCTCAAATACAAATATATCGGGATACAACGAAAGAAACGAATAAAGTTTTTATATCCTGAAGAACAAAAAATGCTTATCATAAAGCGCATTCGATGCAACGCCCACCCCGGAATGATATTTTAGATTTTACTTGCCCGAAGTGTGATTGTAGATTATTTTGCTTAAACGAATCGTCATATTTACAACGAGCAGACGACGCGTTGTCGTGAACCGGAAGTGACGTTTCGCATAGGCAGCAAAACATGGCGGCATCCTGTAGTCAACCTCTTGTCACGCCGGTACATTATGACCCGGCTTTTAAAGGTAATGCGATCGAGACACGAAATAACTATTACATGTCAGTCCAGTTTATGGCTGATTGAAACCTTTAGAGCGTACTTGTGCATTTGACAGTAGACGCCGACAAAGGCAGCATGATGCGAACAGACACCACAAACAATAACATGTAGGCCTACAGTCACGGAAATAATAGCTAGGGCTAATTCATTAAAATAACTCTATCATGTTCATAGATAAATCTTGCATGGATGTAGTATGTATGATTAATAGAAGATTTGAATGTTTGAAAAAAGATTGTCTGACTTTGTTACTATCACTAGGCTCTCAGGTGAAGATCAAGATGAGATTTGCCTTTGTTTTCTGTTTGTTGGGTTCTTTTGGGTCTAGATCTACACTGGATACTTAAGGGGAACAACACTCTAACTTTGAAAGTATTGACATATGGATCGGTGTTTTCTTCGCGGATTCAAAATTTGCTTATTATGGACTACAATACCGTCAATATCCACATAAAGAACCATCATCCTACTTGTCTTTGTATCAATGTAATATTTTAAAACATTCGTCTCTCAAATGATCATGTAAGTTTGTTTCCCCAGGTCTAGTCTGTCATACAGACCCTGAATCAAATATATCCTATACCAGGTGTATACAGCAGTAAACATTCCTGTCACGCACACTTTCAGAGGCCTATCAGTGATGGGTGATAGGATTCTGTACATGTTAGGGCTGCAACGAATACACTATGAGGCGAAAATGATTCGTATCACAAATATAGGGTAATGAAAACAAATAATTATTCACAAATACAATAACAAGTCAACAGTTGATGTATTATTTGTTATATTCAGTGAAACAAAAGCAACATACATTTTTTTACATCGTTTGTTAATTATTATTATATTATACATTTATATACTGCACTTATCCATATACTAGTATCTGATCAAATGCAACAATGACCAGTGACCACATTACTGTCAAATTAAATATAAGACTAAGAGTGTTGTCTTTGAAGAAATCTATGCATATGATATGTTCTTACCGATATTTTTTGGGTACAAGGTATGTTTACAAATGCACATGATTGTATATTTATAAATATTTGACTCCAGTGGCCACGAATAACGAATTTAATTCATGAATGGATACGGTTCAAGTCACTGTGTAACTTAGCGAATCGTAACAGTCCAAGTATATGTGTTGGGAAATTCCAAGTAATTCTATTAACTGCAGATTGGTTTAGTTTTGGAAAATGAGGAAAGTCTCCTGGCTCCTTTTTTTAATTTTTTATGACTTTAATTTAACAACTGTTTTTGTCTGTAAAATATGTTCATTCCAGAGGACTAGTTGTTAGTCTACCCCAGGTCTTGAGAGTGGACTAAAAATGGGATCAGATTTTTGCTGTGTACTATCTAATGTGTCACCAGTGCTGACTGTGTACATCACTGGTAATGCTATCAACCACAGGTTGGTTGATTTTAGATGTGATAACATACAGGCTTTCATGATAAATGCAGCAGTCGAAACTAACATTTGGCGAAACCGCATTATCGGTGGTTCGAGAGGGGAGCTAACTCTGTTTGCCTAATCGAAAGTTCGAGGTGGGCCCACATTCGAAACTAAACGCACTTGTTGTTGAGAATATATACTATGTAAACAAACCCGCATAACGAACTCATAATTTGTCTTTTTAAAATAAGTATTATGACTTATAATTGGATTAAAATGTACAAATAAGATGGCAATACAGCAGAACTCACTTCTACGAACATCGCCAAACTAGGTCGTGGGGTCATTAATATTCATGAGTTATTCCTTTTATGTAACAAGTTCTCGGAAACGTCTGAGGCTTGTATCATGTCCGAGATCAATTCAAGTGTAGACATATGTTCAGGCTTATATCGCCACCAACACTTATGATTAGATTGATGTGTCAAATTGGAAAAAGTAGAATGAGTCGTATTGCCTCTGTAAATTTAATTTGAAGTAGATTTAAGTTTCTTGCTTGGTAGCTATTTTTGTAAAACTAGTGTGGTCAGCTATGACGCAGTTATTCAAACTTCAAAGACTTTTGTGCCTTTTATGGAATTAATGTCACACGAAATGATTTATAAAGATATTTCCCATCAATATTACAAAATATGAATAATATAAAATGTCACATAATGACAAACGTGAGCCCAATAGCCTAAATGACTTCGTCAACCTAATGAAACCCAACGATTTAAAATTGTGGGCCCACCTGTTTCGATCACTATAAGACGGGAACAATGTGGGCCCACATTTTAGAAAATGGTTATAAGTAAGCCAAGCTAATGAAGCTAGCGATTTTTTAATGTGGTCCCTCCTTTTGCAATCACTATGACGGAAGAACGTCTACCCACTAGGCGATATACAGATGTGGGCCCACTTGTTTCGATCACCATATATGACGGGAACAATGTGGGCCCACATTTGAGAAAATGATTATCAATATTTAAGTAGAATTTCGCGATTAATAAATGTGGTCCCTCCTGTTGCAATCAATATGACGGAAGAACGTCTGCCCACATTTAGGGATTGATTATCAGAACTAACGAAACAACCTAACGAAGCTAGGCGAAATACAAATGTGGGCCCACTTGTTTCGATCACCATAGATGACGGGAAAGATGTGGGCCCACATGTTAGAAAATGGTTATCACCACTAAACCAATCTTAGAAGATGTACTGATGGAAACATAAATATATAATGCATTCAAACATTTAATTACCTTACGTTTTACCTTAGGGATAAGCTGGGCATTTAATAGCTGGACCAACAACGTGCAGCGTGGGTGACGCCATTTCTCGCAAATACGAAAACAACGGAGATAGCTCCCGTTTGAAGTTAGAGTGACCTCCCTTTCCCAATATGAACCACTGATAATGCGGTTTCGCCTAACATTTTTACTCCACTGGACCTTACAGTTACAATGATACAAAACCCTTAAAATGGCAAATTTCTACTAGTCCTGATGATACAGGACCAGTGCCAATTTTTAATGCTGTAAATCTAACACTAATCTTGCTGATCCTGAATAAACCTCAGTCCGACCTCATGGAGAGAGAGTGAGTGAGTTGGGTTTAAGGCCGCTTTTAACAGTATTACAGTTATATCCCGGCGTGTCAGCTTAATGTGGGAGGAAAGCCCAAGTGATGCAGGTCTCACTCTCAGACGTTTACCACTTTGGTGAAACCCACGAGCACGAGTATGGTGCTGACAAACCTAGAAACATAATGGGGCTGAACTGGGATTCATAGGTTTCTGGCGTGCCCAAGGGATGCAACTCTGCACAGCGAATTGCAGTGACTTAAACGACTGGGCCACCCGTGCCCCCACCTCATGAGACCATTAGGTGAAGCCGGTTCTTGGTTACTGTAAACAACACGGTGAACTAGCATCTATATGTTCCAGTGACAGTTCGGCTGCATGAGTCTCTGTTGTCTGGGACGGACACACCCACCGACATTGAGATAGAGATGATGTCACTGTGTGGTCAGCTGGATTTACTCTGCAGGAAGGAACTCACCCAGGTAGGAGCACAACTCTGTGAGTGAGTGAGTGAGTTAGGTTTATCACCGCTTTGAACAGTTTGTTTGTCTGTCTGTTGTTTAATGCAGCACTCAGCAATTTTCAAGCGGTCTGTAAATAATCGAATCTTAACCTAGACAATCCAGTGATTGACATCATGAGCATTAATGCATGCAATTGGATTACGATGACATGCATCAATCAAGTCAGCGAGCCTGACCTCCAGGTCCTGTTCGTCGTTTCTTATGACAAAACATAGTTGCCTTTTGCCGCAAGAATTGGTTGCTGAAGTCCTATTCTACCCCGGATCTTGATGGGTCGCTTTGAACAGTATTCCAGTCAGGGTGTTTAACATAACTGGTATTTTCAATGTTGCCCTTCTCTAAGCTAGAAGTAAAGTCCCTCCAGTGGGATGTTTACAGCTTTTATGTTCGATTATGTTTGAAAAGCCTAGTTTTGGTAGATTGTTGGAAAACACTTTAGGTCCTTTTGATGGCTTTGAATTGAATCTTCTAATCATTGAAATTTTTTTTGTATTATTTCCTTTATTTTTGTATATTGAAACGGGGGGAGTGCTTGTTTCTGGAGCAGATCTTGCAAACCATATAATATTTCTTCACCAAACTTGCACATAGATTGGTCTAGTGGTGAACTGGTGCCTTTTGATATATTTCTTTGTTAAGAAATATGTTTCGTGTTTCCATGGCAACAACTTTGACATAGGCTGCAAATAGTGGTGGTGCTTGTTTCCAGAGCAAATCTTGAAAATCATACAATATTTCTTCACCAAAGTTGGAACACGGATAGGTCAAGCTGTGAACTGGTGCATTTTGATTGTTTGGGATTTTTGACAAAAGGAACATTTTTGAGTTTCCATTGCAACAACTTTGAAAATGGGGGTAGTGGTCATTTCCATAGCAGATCTTGAAAATCATGCAATATTTCTTCAGCAAATTGGCACATAGATAGGTCTAGTGGTGTACTGGTTCCTTTCGTTAGTTCATGATTTTTGAAATAAGTATTTTTTTAGTTTCCATGGCAACAATATATATATATATTACTAGTTGACATATTTAAGACAAGTATTTACAATTGCAGGGGATATTGGTGATTTTGTCCTGTTGTTATCCATGTTGTATAACTTTCTGCTTTGTTTCAGCAACCATCTCACAGAATTGATAATGGGAAGACAAGCAACTCCTTTGTGAACAGAGGTCTGTGATATTCTCTAGAAACCAGCAATTCTGCTGACTAGTTATTATCGAGGATGATTATTTTTATGATGAATGCTGGTATTGTTTAACACAGCTATATACAGTGAGTCACATTCACATGATTCAGGAGTTTTGAAACATAGAATACGGGTTATTTAAGTCAATTTTCGAAGAATAAATGTATATCAGTGATGACAGAGTTGATTTAGTATTTGTCAAAGTTTGCACAGGAAAAATAAAGAAGTCAAAATCTTTAAGTAAAAATCTGTCTTCAGTATTACCACGGCTTCGAAATTGATAAAAAAGTTACTCCTTATTTGTCATGGTCCTTTATCAAAATGATCGTCTTATTAAATTGTGTTATTAACTGGAGAAACTCGATCCATGGAGTGTACTACTACAGGACTTGAAATTAGAAAAAAAAATCAGGTGTGCCTGAAGACTCTGGACCTATTTTTCAGATGTGCCATTTTTAATTGCCTTGTCTATATTTCCCAAACATTATAACAAAAGGCTGCCAATCCATTAGATAAAAAATTGTTTCAAGGTTGCTGGTTTGAAACCCCTGGAACAACGGAAGAATTTTTTACTAATGTTTAGATAATTTTAGAATTGTTTCATCTATACTATCACACATGTCAGCATTCCATTTTTGCTTCTCAGGGATTTTTTCAATTTCAGTGGTAGCGCTCGGCAATATATGCGGTCTTACATGTCTGTTGTCTGCAGTAACTTTATTAGAACTTACAGAAATTGGCTTGAAGTTATATAAAATAGTGGAGGTTTTCTTTTTAGACTTCCATTTTGAAAAAATGCGATCGCTCTCGGTTTTTTTACAAGATTCAGGAGGCGGCAGGGTAGCCTATAGTGGTTGAAGCTTTGTCACGCTGAAGACCCGAGTTCGAATCCCGACTAGGGTACAATGTGTGAAGCCCATTTCTGGTGTCCCCTGCTGTGATATTGCTGGAATATTGCTAAAAGCGGCGTAACACCAGACTCACTTACTCACTACAACAGTCAGCACAAATAACCACTTTTGTTTGAAACTCATGGCCTACTTAGTTTTTGTAATATTTTATCAAAATATGGAAAGATGCAAAACATGAAAACACAAGGCCAACACACTATTCCTTATATTCCATCAGAATATGTACAGAAGCGATTACTTTCAAATGTATTTCATTCAATGTTTAATATCTCTGTAAGTTAGTCTGGAAATCACTGAATCATGCTGATTGGATTTACAACAGGAAGTCGTTTAGCGATAGTCGAACATGCAAATAATGTGGAAAACTCTTTCTTTCCACACTTTAGTTTTCTCAAGAAATGAAATAAATATTAACAAAAGTACTTTTCACAAAGATGAGCGTGCTCACGAGGCACTGTACAGGAAATCAAGCCTGCCATTATCTATTTTATGTGTGGCGCTGGCATAGCACACTCGTAAGTTCGAGCACTGTACTGTATTATTTCCATGTGTGTTGCAGCCCGAGTCGTGTATGACCAGATGCATCAGCTGCTGGCGAGATGCAATAGTCCGCTGGACGTCCAGGTAAATACACCACTACCTAAACTGGCATTTGATTATACCCCCGAATAAGCAGTTCCTATTTCAGCCCTTCCAATATAGTAAGTATTTCCATTTCAGAAAAAGAACAGTAATTTGCATGCTTGTCACCATATTGAAGATAATCACTGGTTATCCCCCCTGCATATGATGCCTGCTCCACCTACCAGATATATTCTGTACCATGTTTATTAATCAGCCTTGCTTGACAACAGTATAAGGATCTATACCGAAATGTCGTCTTTACAGTAAAAGGGCGGTCGGGTAGTTGGGTGGTTAAAGCGTTTGCTCGTCACGCCGAAGATCCGGGTTCGATTCCGGACATGGGTACAATGTGTGATGTCCATTTCTGGTGTCCCCTGCCGTGATATTGCTGGAATATTGCTAAAAGCGGCGTAAAATCACACTCACTCACTTTACAGTAAAATAAAGAAGTTGCTATCCATAAATTGTGTCTACTTAGTTTCGCATTGCTAATGACGATACTTTGCATTTATTGTTGAGACATTGTGTCTGTGGTTAGTTGCTCATGTTATCGACAACTGGTTTGTAGGGTCCAGATTTGATGATCGACATGTGATCTTGTGGCTGTAACGACGTTCACTCAACAATTGCATGGGGACATATTTTTTTCCAGGCATACCTAGAAAGCAAGTGGCTTGATCGTCTGTTTCCACGTGCGGCAGCTTATGTTGTGAGGCCGGAGGCTTTGTCTATTGCTTTAAAGAAAACAACACTTGATAGTAAGGCAGACATTTTTATGATGAAAAGATGAAGAGATATCAATATATGTATTGGAAATATCAAGATATACATGATATATGTATGAAAATATCAAGACATATGTACTGAAAATATCAAGACATATGTACTGAAAATATCAAGATATATGGACTGAAAATATCAAGACATATGTACTGAAAATATCAAGACATATGTACTGAAAATATCAAGATATATGGACTGAAAATATCAAGACATATGTACTGAAAATATCAAGACATATGTACTGAAAATATCAAGACATATGTACTGAAAATATCAAGACATGTACTGAAAATATCAAGATATATGTACTGAATATATCAAGACATGTACTGAAAATATCAAGACATATGTACTGAAAATATCAAGATATATGTACTGAATATATCAAGATATATGTACTGAATATATCAAGACATGTACTGAAAATATCAAGATATATGTACTGAATATATCAAGACATATGTACTGAAAATATCAAGACATATGTACTGAAAATATCAAGATATATGGACTGAATATATCAAGACGTACTAAAAATATCAAGATATATGGACTGAATATATCAAGATATATGTACTGAAAATATCAAGACATATGTACTGAAAATATCAAGACATGTACTGAAAATATCAAGATATATGTACTGAATATATCAAGACATATGTACTGAAAATATCAAGACATATGTACTGAAAATATCAAGATATATGTACTGAATATATCAAGACATATGTACTGAAAATATCAAGACATATGTACTGAAAATATCAAGATATATGTACTGAATATATCAAGACATATGTACTGAATATATCAAGACATATGTACTGAAAATATCAAGATATATGGACTGAATATATCAAGATATATGGACTGAATATATCAAGATATGGACCAAAAAATGTCAAAACACATGGACTGAAAAAGTATCAAGATATATGGAGTGAAAAAAATCAAGATATGTTTACTTCGAAATATCATGATATATGGACTGAAAATATCAGTTAACTTATTTGATACGAATATTCTTATGCTGCAATGAGACTGGTAATGGTATGAGATGGAATGTTATGTAAATGTTGCTAGGTATTTTTAGGTAGATTGTTGAGCAGTTAGAGAATGTCATGAATTTCTTTTGAATTTCTACTAAACCTGACAGATTTCAAATACTGTGTTTGTTCGTTCTTTCATCTTCCAGACTATTACACTCAGTTGGCTGGGCTGCATCATCTCGCTACACTGGCTCGCCAGATGAACAACGACCTGTCAACACAATCCAAACCAAAATATATAGCTCATCAGCTGGCCTTGTTGTATGTAAGTATTGTCTCCCCAGTTGCCACTAAGCTTTGTTGTATGTAAGTATTGTCTCCCCAGTTGCCACTAAGCTTTGTTGTGTGTAAGTATTGTCTCCCCAGTTGCCACTTAGCTTTGTTGTATGGAAGTATTGTCTCCCCAGTTGCCACTCAGCTTTGTTGTATGTAAGTATTGTCTCCCCAGTTGCCACTTAGCTTTGTTGTGTGTAAGTATTGTCTCCCCAGTTGCCACTCAGCTTTGTTGTATGTAAGTATTGTCTCCCCAGTTGCCACTTAGCTTTGTTGTATGTGAGTATTGTCTCCCCAGTTGCCACTTAGCTTTGTTGTATGTGAGTTTTGTCTCCAATGTTGCCACCTAGCTTCGTTGTATGTAAGTATTGTCTCCCCAGTTGCCACTCAGCTTTGTTGTATGTAAGTATTGTCTCCCCAGTTGCCACTTAGCTTTGTTGTATGTAAGTATTGTCTCCCCAGTTGCCACTCAGCTTTGTTGTAGGTAAGTATTGTCTCCCCAGTTGCCACTCAGCTTTGTTGTAGGTAAGTATTGTCTCCCCTGTTGCCACTCAGCTTTGTTGTATGTAAGTATTGTCTCCCCAGTTGCCACTTAGCTTTGTTGTATGTAAGTATTGTCTCCCCAGTTGCCACTCAGCTTTGTTGTAGGTAAGTATTGTCTCCCCAGTTGCCACTCAGCTTTGTTGTAGGTAAGAATTGTCTCCCCAGTTGCCACTCAGCTTTGTTGTATGTAAGTATTGTCTCCCCAGTTGCCACATAGCTTTGTTGTATGTAAGTATTGTCTCCCCAGTTGCCACTTAGCTTTGTTGTATGTAAGTATTGTCTCCCCAGTTGCCACTTAGCTTTGTTGTATGTAAGTATTGTCTCCCCAGTTGCCACTTAGCTTTGTTGTCTGTAAGTATTGTCTCCCCAGTTGCCACTTAGCTTTGTTGTATGTAAGTATTGTCTCCCCAGTTGCCACTAAGCTTTGTTGTATGTAAGTATTGTCTCCCCAGTTGCCACTTAGCTTTGTTGTATGTAATTATTGTCTCCCCAGTTGCCACTTAGCTTTGTTGTATGTAAGTATTGTCTCCCCAGTTGCCACTTAGCTTTCTTCTATGTAAGTATTGTCTCCCCAGTTGCCACTCAGCTTTGTTGTATGTAAGTATTGTCTCCCCAATTGCCACTTAGCTTTGTTGTATGTAAGTATTGTCTCCCCAGTTGCCACTCAGCTTTGTTGTATGTAAGTATTGTCTCCCAAGTTGCCACTTAGCTTTGTTGTATGTAAGTATTGTCTCCCAAGTTACCACTTAGCTTTGTTGTATGTAAGTTTTGTCAACACTCTCCTTACCAAAGTAGATTGTTCATCAATATTGTAGATGGTGAGTGATGTAGGAATAGTTGGGGTCAGTTAGTTGCAGGATGAGACCTGTGAAGATCCGGGGAAGAATTGGTCTTCAGCAACCCATGCTTGCTGTAAAAGGCAACTAATCTTGTTGTAAGAGGCGTCTAACGGGAGTGGATGGTCAGGCTCGCTGACTTGTTTGATGCATGTCATCGTATCCTAACTGCATGGATTGATGCTCATGATGTCAATCACTCAATTGTCTGGTCCATACTCGATTATTTACAGACTGTTGTCATACAGCTGTAATATTGCTGAGTGCTGTGTTTAACAACAAACAGACAAACAAAAGAAATTGCGGAATGATGAGGGCAAAGTTCTTAATGCTGATCATAATTTAGTAACTATTTAAAAAAACATTTTATCTCATGGGACTGAGTTCCAGCTTTCTTTCAAGATAGCATAGGGGGCACGGGTGGCCCAGTCATCTAAGGCGCCGCGATTCCCTGTGCAGGGTTGTGTCCATGATTGTGGGTTCGAATCCCGGTTCGCCCCGATTTTGTTTCTAGGTTTGTTAGCACCATACCCGTGCTTGTGAATTTCACCGAAGTGGTAAACGTCTGAGACCTGCATCACTTTGGGCTTTCCTCCCACATTAAGCTGACACGCCGTGATATAACTGGAATAATGTTAAAAGCAGCGTTAACACAATTAACTCACTCACTCACTCAAGATAGCATATTACATGTTGTTGTGGGGTGGTGGAACAGTGTAATGATTCAAGTGTTCGCTCTTCATGCCAAAGACCCAGGTTTCAATTCCCCACATGGGTACAATGTGTGAAACCCATTTCTGGTGTCCTATGTCACAATATTGATCAGGTTGTCAGGCTTGGTTGACAGTCTTGGTTGATTGCTTGTCATCGTACCCTGAAGGTGTGGATCGGTGCTCACAATATCAGTCACTTGATTGTCTGGTCCTGACTCAATTGTTTACAGACCATTGTCATAATAGCTGGAATATTGCTGAGTGCTGCATGAAACAAAAAACAAACAAATAAATAAATAAATCATGCCAAAGGCTACATTCCAATTGGAGAAAAAATTGAACACATTGAGCATTGTTTTATATTTGTAGCAAAGCATCACGAACCTGGAGGGCAGCTCTTCCGCCCTGGCTGTTCAGAAGAAGAATATAGAGGACAACTTTAAGACGGTGAAAGCTGCATTTGCTGCCGATCAGGGTGAAACATACCTCGCTCCAGAGATCAGAGAATGGTAGGTTGACTGACATACAAGCTCCATGCTGGGACTCCCCCATGAATATCCGGGATAGCATTGTTCTTGACCAACTATTGCTTGTCTCCCCCAGATCTGGGTTAGAATTGGTCTTCATCGATTCATGCTTGTCTCCCCCTGTGAAGATCTGGGTTGGAATTTAGCTATATCAACCCATGCTTCTTGTAAGGTGACTAACAGGTTGGTTAGGATCCATGACTTGGTTGATGGATGTCATCGTATCCAAATTGCATAGATTGATGCTTGTGATGTCAATCACAGGATTGTTTGGTCCAGACTTGATTATTCGCAGATGATCAAAAAGCTTGAATATTGCTGAGTGTGGCAAAAAACATTGATGGACGATTAATGCCTATTGGCATGTGAATGAAATGCTTACAAATAGAAATTATATTTTCTTTCGCAGAGATGCAGTCTTTAACAAGAGTATAGTCAAACATAGATTTGATACTGCTGGCGGACCTGTCAGAATGCAGGATTCTAAAATGTCCCAATATCTTCTCATCTTGATATGTTCCAGGCTCCTGACACTGACCAACAACCTGGCGACTGTCATGACCTCACTACCTGCCGCACTCACTGAAGACATGCAGCAACCAGCCGCCATACTGGCCCGCGCATGATCAAACACACATCCCAGCCACACTTCACAGCAACCTTGTTTGGATACACTGTAAATCAATCTGGGCATGATTCTATGACACTCAACTCTCAAATGGGTGTATGGTAATTGTGAAGAGGATCTGTGACATGTCTGACATTATGTCATTCAAGGCATACAGTTAATACTAGGACAGACTTTCAACTCTCAATGGATGTATGAGAGTGTGAAAGAGGTTTGCAGAGTTGTTTAAACCAGTGTCAGAAATAACTGCCTGCCAGCTGCCCGTGTCTGGTAACTTTTCTGTCGGGCTGCATGAATCTTTCATCCACCTGCTCGACTGTCAAGATAATTTCAAGACTACTCACGAATTTAGTTTTATTATAACTCCTTGTAGATTGTCATGTAATTGTTTGCATTATTTCTGCTGAATCAAGACAGGATTTGTCTCTTATTTTATGGTTATGATTTTGCAATATTTATGATGTCTAAATGTGGGCAGGTAACTTTGAAGATGGGCAGGCAACACTTATTGGTCACCTGCCCCACTGTCTTTTGGGGTTTTGAATTTATTTCTAAACACTGGTTTAGACTGCTGTATAACACTGAGCAGAATTGAATGCCGATCTGATCTATGTCCTTCTTCACATTCATCTTTAGTTCCCCATTTAAACTCACAAGCTGTGATATTCCATTAAGTATTATACTGTTCAAAACCAACTCACTCACAAGAATCATAATGGAATATTTGTTGAAAAATGCTTTTATTGCATACAAAAGAACTGAAACAATTGGCGTTCTGATGTTTGCAGATACTGATATCCTTGCCATCCCAGGGTTAGTTGCTATAATGCTGATGCGACGTTAAAGTTGTAACTCACTCACTCATCCCAGGGGTAACAACTTGTTTTCATTGTCAGTATTGCATTGTTGTTGCTCAAAACAAAGGTTGTATTTTTCATGTCATAGTTCATTCACGGATGTATCTATATGACCGTAACAGTCTGAACCCTCATTCACTGATGTATCTATAGACCGTAACAGTCTGAACCCTCATTCACGGATGTATCTATATGACCGTAACAGTCTGAACCCTCATTCACTGATGTATCTATAGACCGTAACAGTCTGAACCCTCATTCACTGATGTATCTATAGACCATAGCAGTCAGAACCCCCCCATTCACGGATGTGTCTATAGACCATAACAGTCTGAACCCTCATTCACTGATGTGTCTATAGACCATAGCAGTCAGAACCCCCCCATTCATGGATGTGTCTATAGACCATAACAGTCTGAACCCTCATTCACTGATGTATCTATAGACCATAGCAGTCAGAACCCTCATTCACTGATGTGTCTATAGACCATAACAGTCTGAACCCTCATTCACTGATGTGTCTATAGACCATAACAGTCTGAACCCCCATTCACGGATGTGTCTATAGACCATAACAGTCTGAACCCTCATTCACTGATGTGTCTATAGACCATAACAGTCTGAACCCTCATTCACTGATGTGTCTATAGACCATAACAGTCAGAACCCCCCCATTCACGGATGTGTCTATAGACCATAACAGTTTGAACCCTCATTCACTGATATATCTGTAACCATAACAGTCTGAACCCTCATTCACTGATGTGTCTATAGGCCATAACGGTCTAAACCCTCATTCACGGATGTGTCTATAGACCATAACAGTCTGAACCCCCATTCACGGATGTGTCTATAGACCATAACAGTCTGAACCCTCATTCACTGATGTGTCTATAGACCATAACAGTCTGAACCCTCATTCACTGATGTGTCTATAGACCATAACAGTCAGAACCCCCCCATTCACGGATGTGTCTATAGACCATAACAGTTTGAACCCTCATTCACTGATATATCTGTAACCATAACAGTCTGAACCCTCATTCACTGATGTGTCTATAGGCCATAACGGTCTGAACCCTCATTCACTGATGTGTCTATAGACCATAACAGTTTGAACCCTCATTCACTGATATATCTGTGACCATAACAGTCTGAACCCTCATTCACTGATGTGTCTATAGGCCATAACGGTCTGAACCCTCATTCACTGATGTGTCTATAGGCCATAACGGCCTGAACCCTCATTCACTGATGTGTCTATAGGCCATAACGGTCTGAACCCTCATTCACTGATGTATCTATATGACCATAACGGTCTGAACCCTCATTCACTGATATATCTGTGACCATAACAGTCTGAAACCTCATTCACTGATGTGTCTATAGGCCATAACGGTCTGAACCCTCATTCACTGATGTGTCTATAGGCCATAACGGTCTGAACCCTCATTCACTGATGTATCTATATGACCATAATGGTCTGAACCCTCATTCACTGATGTGTCTATAGGCCATAACGGTCTGAACCCTCATTCACTGATGTATCTATATGACCATAACGGTCTGAACCCTCATTCACTGATGTGTCTATATGACCATAACGGTCTGAACCCTCATTCACTGATGTGTCTATATGACCGTAACAGTCTGAACCCTCATTCACGGATGTATCAATATGACCATAACGGTCTGAACCCTCATTCACTGATGTGTCTATATGACTGTAACAGTCTGAACCATCATTCACGGATGTATCAATATAACCATAACGGTCTGAACCCTCATTCACTGATGTGTCTATATGACCGTAACAGTCTGAACCCTCATTCACTGATGTATCAATATAACCATAACAGTCTGAACCCTCATTCACTGATGTATCAATATAACCATAACAGTCTGAACCCTCATTCACTGATGTATCTATATAACCATAACAGTCTGAACCCTCATTCTCTGTTGCATCTAAAGACCATAACAGTCCAGAACCCTGTACTTACCACAACTTGCTTGTAATGAATGTGATCGCCCTCCATCTTGAGACTGCAAACAAATCAAGTTCCTCTCAGATGTTTTTTCAATCTCATAGGAGAGTGACCTTAATGTGGAAAACAACTTAAATGTGTTCCAGGTTTGAGGAGACATGATACTCTGTGCCAAGTGATGAGTAACATGAAAACACGAATGACAAATCGTATGTCCAGGTTCGTGTTTACTAACAAAGGGACAAACTTATGGTAGTTCTAATCCAGTTTGATTCAAGTCGTTCAAACATAACTTTGTCTGCAGACTCATTTGGTATGATGTAAGTACTATTGATCACCTAATGACAATGTGTCCGTCACACACGTCACTAATTACAACATGTAGACTGTGAGTTGGAACAAGGCCAAGACCGTGTGCCACAGCCCCTATTAGATTGAGGTCTAGTCATTCCCTTGATGGCCGAGACCTGTAATATCGAGATAACGTGCATCTCAACAAAGTGTATCATCCCATTCCAATATACAAACCATCATCCCATTCCATATACCTCGTACAAACCATATCATGAAGATGTCTATTTTATTCGAAGAGTGCTTGCTGATTGATGACAATATGGATTGATAATAATGCTGTTTGATGACAATATTGATACCAATGCTGTTTGCTGACAATATAGATTGATAACAACACAGATTGATGACAATATTATTGATAACAACATTGATCACAATATAGACTGATAACAACATTGATCACAATATAGATTGATAACAATGCTGTTTGATGACAATATTGATAACAACGTTGTTGACAATACAGATTAATAACAATGCTGTTTGATGACAATATTGTTAACAACATTGATGACAATATAGATTGATAACATTGATGACAATATAGATTGATAACAACACTGTTTGATGACAATATTATTGATAACAACATTTATGACAATATAGATTGATAACAATGCTGTTTGTTGACAATATGGATTGATAACAATGCTGTTTGATGACAATATTGATAACAACACTGTCACACTGTCGTCAGACTGTGTGTTGTCGAATTTTAAAGATGCTGTATATCATGTTGCCTTGTTGGGATGTACACATATTTTTGTAAACATGGTAACCTATGTTTTGTTTATTGCTGTATTTTGCTTTTGCAGTATTACTTTGGTGCTGTTATTTTTCTTTCATTGAATCTCTCTTTTTTGTCGCGAATTGTTTTTTATACATGAGAATATATGTGGAATGGAATATGAGTTTGATGTTCAGAAAATATATGAATCCTGTGCACTTGAACTTGATCTTAGTGTAGCCTCCAAGGTTCCCAGTACCCTTGATTTTCTCTCTGGGGATTCCAGTGCAGAATAGGTCCCAAGTACCCTTGATTGCCTCTCTGGGGAATACAGTCGAGAATAGGTCCCCAGTACCTCTTGATTGCCTCTGTGGGGAATACAGTCCAGAATAGGTCCCAAGTACCCTTGATTGCCTCTCTGGGGAATACAGCACGGAATAGGTCCCAAGTACCCTTGATGTCTCTCTGGGGATTCCAGTGCAGATTAGTTCCCCAGTACCTCTTGATTGCCTCTGTGGGGAATACAGCACAGAATAGGTCCCCAGTACCTCTTGATTGCCTCTGTGGGGAATACAGTCCAGAATAGGTCCCCAGTACCTCTTGATTGCCTCTGTGGGGAATACAGTCCAGAATAGGTCCCCAGTACCTCTTGATTGCCTCTGTGGGGAATACAGCACAGGATAGGTCCCCAGTACCTCTTGATTGCCTCTGTGGGGAATACAGTCCAGAATAGGTCCCCAGTACCTCTTGATTGCCTCTCTGTGGAATACAGTACAGAATAGGTCCCAAGTACCCTTGATTGGTTCTTTGCCAGTGCAGAAGAGGTCCCAAGTACCCTTGATTGCCTCTTTGGGTATTCGTGTGCAGAATAGGTCCCCAGTACCCTTGATTTTTGTCCCCCGCCGCGCAAAAGCGCAGAGCGGGGGATATAGTATTCACGACCGTCCGTACGTCCGTCCGTACGTCCCACCTGTTTGTTGCCGCGATATTTCAAGAACTAAACACTGGATTGTCTTCATATTTGGAACTATGGTGTATATACAGACGCCGCAGACACCAGTCGGTTTTGGTGACCTTGACCCCATTTTCAAGGTCACAGCAGGCAAATCTGCTTTTGGAGTTGGAAAACAGTGTTGCCGCGATTTCTCAAGAACTAAACACTGGATTGTCTTCATATTTGGAACTATGGTGTATATACAGACGCCGCAGACACCAGTCGGTTTTGGTGACCTTGACCCCATTTTCAAGGTCACAGCAGGCAAATCTGCTTTTGGAGTTGGAAAACAGTGTTGCCGCGATTTCTCAAGAACTAAACACTGGATTGTCTTCATATTTGGAACTATGGTGTATATACAGACGCCGCAGACACCAGTCGGTTTTGGTGACCTTGACCCCATTTTCAAGGTCACAGCAGGCAAATCTGCTTTTGGAGTTGGAAAACAGTGTTGCCGCGATTTCTCAAGAACTAAACACTGGATTGTCTTCATATTTGGAACTATGGTGTATATACAGACGCCGCAGACACCAGTCGGTTTTGGTGACCTTGACCCCATTTTCAAGGTCACAGCAGGCAAATCTGCTTTTGGAGTTGGAAAACAGTGTTGCCGCGATTTCTCAAGAACTAAACACTGGATTGTCTTCATATTTGGAACTATGGTGTATATACAGACGCCGCAGACACCAGTCGGTTTTGGTGACCTTGACCCCATTTTCAAGGTCACAGCAGGCAAATCTGCTTTTGGAGTTGGAAAACAGTGTTGCCGCGATTTCTCAAGAACTAAACACTGGATTGTCTTCATATTTGGAACTATGGTGAATATACAGACTCCGCAGACACCAGTCGGTTTTGGTGACCTTGACCCCATTTTCAAGGTCACAGCAGGCAAATCTGCTTTTGGAGTTGGAAAACGGTGTTGCCGCGATATCTCAAGAACTAATCGCCGGATTGTCTTCATATTTGGAACTATGGTGTATATACAGACTCCGCAGACACCAGTCGGTTTTGGTGACCTTGACCCCATTTTCAAGGTCACAGCAGACAAATCTGCTTTTGTAGTTGGAAAACGGTGTTGCCGCGATATCACAAGAACTAATCGCTGGATTGTCTTCATATTTGGAACTATGGTGTATATACAGACACTGCATACACCAGTCGGTTTTGGTGACCTTGACCCCATTTTCAAGGTCACAGCAGGCAAATCTGCTTTTGGAGTTGGAAAACGGTGTTGCCGCAATATCTCAAGAACTAATCGCTTGATTGTCTTCATATTTGGTACTATAGTGTATATACAGGCGGGGGACATTTCGTCACTTTGTGACAAATACTTGTCTCTCTTGGGATTCCAATACAGAATAGGTCCCCAGTACCTCTTGATTGCCTCTCTGTGGAATACAGTACAGAATAGGTCCCAAGTACCCTTGATTGGTTCTTTGCCAGTGCAGAATAGGTCCCAAGTACCCTTGATTGACTCTTTGGGGATTCGTGTGCAGAATAGGTCCCCAGTACCCTTGATTTTCTCTCTTGGGATTCCAATACAGAATAGGTCCCCAGTACCTCTTGATTGCCTCTCTGTGGAATACAGTACAGAATAGGTCCCAAGTACCCTTGATTGGTTCTTTGCCAGTGCAGAATAGGTCCCAAGTACCCTTGATTGACTCTTTGGGGATTCGTGTGCAGAATAGGTCCCCAGTACCCTTGATTTTCTCTCTTGGGATTCCAATACAGAATAGGTCCCCAGTACCTCTTGATTGCCTCTCTGGGGAATACAGTACAGAATAGGTCCCCAGTACCTTTGATGGTCTCTTGGTGATTCAGTGCAGAATACATCTTTTAGTGAAACATCTTAGAAGTTGTCACACTCACCCTTTATTATAGAGGGTGGTGGGCTGGTGAGATTGACAAGTCTAATTTTCAAAATAAATAATTATGAATGTTTGTTTGGGAAGTTGCTCATAACATCAATTACTTATCTGTCTGATAGATTAATATACCGTATTTGTTGTATTAAGCACCCTGCTCCAACAAGCACCCTCTGACCAACTTGTAAGTAGTCTTTTTAAGTGCCCCTACGAAGACAGAAAATTTACATGACAGATTTTTTGCCTGCCATAAATGTACTTCAAATGTTCAAATACTGACCTCTCTTTCAACAGAAGGCTATAGCTGTGCTTAAACATCTGGTAGATGTTTGTCACAGGTAGTGTGTGTCACATTTGTTATGTGAAAGACCTAGCAGTGTCGATTATTTTTGTAGCACACGAGGAGATTGGTGAGGTTCCTTCCTTCTTTGTTAATGTGGATGTACTTAAGTTACCATTTTGTATTGTTTCATTATTAAAGAACATTTGTAGTTCACCAACATTTCACTGTATGGAGTACCTACATGATTACAATGTGTGAAGCCAAGTTATGGTGTCCCGTGCTTTGACCCAGCTGGGATATTGTGAAGAGTGGCTTCACTCCCCTCTGACTCACCATGATGCATCAGATCCAGGGGCATCGCTGGCCCAGTCTAAATGCACCACAATTCGCTGTGCCAGAATCCGATGATTCTGAATCCCATATTCACTCTTCATGATCCTTGATTTGTCAGAACCATATTCGTGCTTGTGGCTCCATCCTCCCTGTCCACATGGCCTGCATCGTATCGGGATTTCCTCCCAGGTCACTTATGTCCAGTGAATTGTGTGACAGAAATCTCATGTTTTAGTTTGCCTTATGACCTATTTGAATGTATACCTGATTGATTATCCTATGGGACTGGTCATTTATTACAGGGGGGGGGGGGGGGGGAGGGGGTCAGAGGGAATCAGAATCAGGGAGTCACCTAAAAATAATGGACATAAAAAAAAATTGACATTTTATCATAACATACAAAGCGTCTTTTCAGGGAGGGTCATGACAAAAATGTACAAGGACATGGGAATGGGCATAAAAAAATATGACAAGCATAATTTTCAGTACATCAGTGCATCAAAAACATCTGACCCCCCACCCCTGTAATAAATGACCGGTCCCTAATTACCAGAAGATGACTTCAGGTCCCACAGTGCACTATTTACAAGACAATCATCTCATTCCACAGAGTTCACTAATTAACTGGAAATACCTGCATGTGTCCCACAGGGAACTATTGACATGCCTGTGTGCCACAGGGAACTACTGACATGCCTGTGTCCCACAGGGAACTACTGACATGCCTGTGTCCCACAGGGAACTATTGACATGCCTGTGTGCCACAGGGAACTATTGACATGCCTGTGTCCCACAGGGAACTACTGACATGCCTGTGTCTCACAGGGAACTACTGACATGCCTGTGTGCCACAGGGAACTATTGACATGCCTGTGTGCCACAGGGAACTACTGACATGCCTGTGTCCCACAGGGAACTGCTGACATGCCTGTGTCCCACAGGGAACTGCTGACATGCCTGTGTGCCACAGGGAACTACTGACATGCCTGTGTCCCACAGGGAACTACTGACATGCCTGTGTCCCACAGGGAACTACTGACATGCCTGTGTGCCACAGGGAACTACTGACATGCCTGTGTGCCACAGGGAACTACTTACATGCCTGTGACCCACAGGGAACTACTGACATGCCTGTGTGCCACAGGGAACTACTGACATGCCTGTGTCCCACAGGGAACTACTGACATGCCTGTGTGCCACAGGGAACTACTGACATGCCTGTGTGCCACAGGGAACTACTGACATGCCTGTGTGCCACAGGGAACTACTGACATGCCTGTGACCCACAGGGAACTACTGACATGCCTGTGTCCCACAGGGAACTATTGACATGGTTGTGACAATGTGACACTGAGTAAGTCGTTTATCTGCATGGTGCTGTTCTCTGTGAAACCTGTTAAATCCTGGGTATGTAGTTATTGTTAAACAACCAAACTCGCTGCTGTATTTCTATGGGCATTGTTCTGCACTGTCAGCAATAAATGATTAAATTCTTCGAGTTTGTGTATTGTCTAGTATCTGTGTGTGTGTGTGAGAGTGAGAGTGAGAGAGAGACGGGGTAGAATGTCTTCAGCAACCCATGCTTACTGTGAAAGGCGACTATGCTTGTCGTAAGAGGCGACTAACGGGTTAGTCTTGGTTGATGCATGTCATCGTATCCCAATTGCGTGGATCGATGCTCATGATATTAATCACTGGATTGTCTGGTCCAGACTTGATTATTTACAGACCGCCGTCTTATAGCTGGAATATTGCTGAGTGCGGCAACAAACAAGCCAGCCAACCAATCGTTTGTATATGTTTATATTCCCATAAAACATAAAGCACAATGTTACTGACACTTATCACAGTGCAGTGACTTGGTAGATTGTGTGTCATGATACCCCAACGGCATGGATTGTTGCTCACAACATCAATCACTGGATTGTCTGCTCCAGATTATTTACAGACTACTCTCATATAGCTGGAATACTGCTGAGGGCTATAAAGGAAAATCACTCAAAATATTAAAATTTCATGATATTTACATTTCTTTTATTACAGTAAAATTCTGTTGACAGTTAATAAATATTTTATCATAGAACATTTGTAATATTTACAAATACCAACTCATGAAATGGTGATAACATGATGGCAGCGCAATGATGAACACATACTGTCATGAAGACATGGAACATTGTATGGACAACTTTATAGTCTGTCACTAAGAAGATTCCTGTCCTCAAGTTCAACTTGTAGATGAAAAACAAAGACTTGTTTCCATGAATGTCCAGGAGTACTTTATAGTTGTATGATTGCTGTTTTACAAGAGAGAAAATAATTCTGACGTTTACATACATAAACCATCTTAAACCACAACCGGATTACTGTAGCACGTGTCAAGAGCATGATGGCTGATCCTTTGCAAATGTCTTGTATTAAGGGTGATTATTGCTCCTTTTAACTTGCAATGTAAGCATGTATTGTTCAGCACAGCAAGTACTACTCTACACCCTACACTCGCTTCCATCCTTAATCCATGCAGGTCCAAATTAAATTAACCCTTTTTGTATTATCACAAAGACAGGCAGCTATGTAAGCATGTTTAGTTCAGCTCAAATTCAGTTCCGACCCGGGAGAAATATCAGGATTAGATACATAAAATTGCAATGAAAATGTTCCGACCCTGTTGTGAAAAGTTCTGGTTCATAGGAACAAATGTTTGGTTGTGTTTATGAGCGATGTTAATGTGAAACATGAAAAACAAGGAAACTAAGACATACAATCACAATACAAATAAACATAATCTAAAGAAACAAATCTTGAATTGCAGATAGCATCTTCCCGAGGCAAGTGAGTTAACTGACTATAAAAGTCCAGTTTCCACCCTTGCCGAACTATGCTGGTATTATGGAGTTACATTCTGGCTGGACTAACGAGTCTATGCATAGTCCAATCACAATCCCGCAACGAAATCAAAATCCGGTTTGTAAACTGTCATGTAGATTTCGGTCGATTGCAAGATTTGCAAAGCATGTGCCCAGCCAACTTGTTGTCAACAGATATTTTCCAAATCTTTTCATGTTTTTAATCAAAGTGCTCACGTGATTTGATACACTTCACGATGTAAGGCCTGTTTTATCACAATATAGATCTTGATTATCAATCAGATCGTCTTGACTGGGCGCCGCCATTTTGTTTGAAGCCAATGCATGTGATACGAGAGGTGGAATCTGATTGGTCCATAGGAGGGGCATAGAAGGGACATAACTCACAATAGCCACTGGTGGCACTATGATCGAGCCCAGGAATACCAGCCTAGTTCGGCAAGGGTGGAAACTGGACTTTTAAAGTCAGTTAACCCCCTTGCCTCGGGAAGATGTGCAGCTAGATGAGCTTCTCTAATATCTGAGAACTAGACATTAGGGCTGGGCTGGGTAACTCAGCCTTAGTTGAAATTAACCTTGAAAGTTAAAGGGTCCTTGTCCCAGCCGAATTTAAAGAGTGAGTGAGTTTAACGCCGCTTTTAACAGTATTCAAGTTATATCGCGGCGTTTCAGCTTAATGTGGGAGGAAAGCCCAAAGTGATGCAGGTCTCAGACATTTACCACTTCGGTGAAACCCACGAGCACAAGTATGGTGCTGACAAACCTAGAAACATAATCCGGGCGAACCGGGATTCGAACCCACAATCATAGGTTTCTGGCTGCCCAAGGGACGCAACTCTGCACAGCGAAACGCGGCGCCTTGGACGCCTGGGCCACCTGTGCCCCCCGAATTCAAAGAATTCGAACGACCAGTTTAGACCAACATGAAGATAAGATCCCGGACAGACTCTTGTTCCCACTGTTCCCATCCCATGTCACTGTCCATGTACTTCATTCACATCATGCCATGAACATAGATCACTTTACACCAGATGTATTGATCACAAGTGATTTGGGTTGATTCTGGAAGGAAGAAATGATCTGTGAATGCCTGACATGACATCATCTGTTTTCTATATCCAGGATTCTCCACACAGAACAGCATAGATATAAAACAGGTGAACTTCTGTACGTCACCCGTAAAGCTGTCTCAATGAGCTCTTCACACACAATACTTGCAACAATACTGTGAACCTTCGCCAACACACATCTGGTCTGGCCAACCATTGTGTAAAGTCTGTGATCTCAGTCTCTGCACTATCATACCACTCTCACACTCACATATATATATATGTATATACACATTTCCTAGGGCCACGTCCTCAGTTCCGTTTTTTCTTTTTGTCCCCGTGCCCCCCTTGGGTTTGCTCGTACTCCATCAGAAGCTCCTCCTGGGTCTCGGGGAGGGCGGGGCAGTAGCGGCTGTACTCCATGGTGAACTCCCCCTTGCCCTGGGTCAACGACCTCAGCTCCGTCGCATAGCCGAACATTTCGTTCAGAGGAACCTGAAAGATGAAACTGATTGTCTACAGAACAGGAACAGCAGGAAATTTGACAAGTATAGGCAGTTCTGAGTGAGTGAGTTAGCTTAAAAAAGTTGGTTCTCAGGCAATGACTTTTGAAAATATAGTGTGGGTGGTGGGTGTTGCTCTTTTTTTTTGGCTTGTTCAAACTGGTATGTAACCAAATAAACAGCTGTGTACCATCCACCTGGGAAAGGGCCTCCCTACATAAACAAGCATACAAACTCCTGTTGCTGCCATGACCATAACACAAGGTGCGCAGTTTAAAACAAAACTTGTGCTGTGCCTGAGAACCAAGAGTAGTATTTTTTAATAATGTTTGAAGTGATGCAGGTCTTGGATGAAACCTAAGGATGGTGCTGGCAAACCTAGAAATGAGGGGGTTTGATGGATTTAACCCCATGGTCTTCAACTACAGATGCTTGTTGAAAGAGGTGACTTGATGGGTCGACTTGGTTTATGCATGGCATCACATCCCGATTACTTAGAACTATTCTCATGTCAATCACTGGATTGTCTGGTCCATACTGGACTATTGCTAACAAACAAAACAAACAAGGTCATAGGATTATGATTACACAAACCAATACAATCAGTAGCTCCTGGCTCCACTAAGGGAAGCAACTCTGAACAGCAATTAATGAGCCACCATATTGTCCATGTCCAAGATGACCAATAATTTCCCCCTTACCTCACAATACAGCGTAAAGTACCCCTCTATAGCATCAGTCCCTGTGATGAGGGCGTGGCGCTTGCTGAGGGATGCCATGACTGACCCCTGGAACTCGCCAGGGGCGTTGACCTCCACCATCATGACCGGCTCGAGAATAATCCAGTTCCCGTCCGCAAACACTAGAAGTGGCATCATACAAGAGTGAGTGAGTGAGTTGGGTTTAACGCCGCTTTTCCAGTTATATCGCTGTGTGTCAGCTTAATGTGGAAGGAAAGCCCGAAGTGATGCATGTCTCAGACGTTTACCACTTTGGTGAAACCCACGGAGAAAGGTATAGTGCTGACAAACCTAGAAACATAATCGGGCCAAACCGGGATTCGAACCCACAATCACAGGTTTCTGGCGTGCCCAAGGGACGCAACTCTGCGGCGCCTTAGATGACTGGGCCCCCCCATCACACAAGAAGTAACTTCATCTGGCTTAATTTAGACAAACTTGCACATGCATCTTGGTTCACCTATTTTATCAAGTGTGGATCTTTTTACAACAGGTTCTACACGACACGAGATAAGGGAGAGAACTCCCCACCTCATAAAAAAAGAATACCACTGGCAACCACAAAGTCATGAAATTGTCCAAAATCAAATCATCAAATTTCAATTTGTTTTATCAACTACAGTCCCAGGACACTTTCAACTCCTACAAAATCAGGACTACAATGTCCAAACTAAATTGAATTATCACACCTCCATGTCAGAATGATGAGATCTGATTGGTCAACGGGATCTTGATAAAATATCCCGCCATAAAGCAGTCTGGTTGCCTGGGTATGCTGTGCTGGCAAACCTAAGGAACCAGACTGACCATGGAAGGGACAAAAAAAATTCTCAGCGGGGTAATAAATCTCTTGTACCCCGCCATGAGCAAGTGGATTTCTGAGAGGGTGAACAAATCAATGGTATAAAACATAACACCAGGACGCATAAAATCCCATGTACCCCTCCTGATCCTGCTACTACTACTCAGCGATTTGGATGATCACGTAATCAACATCACCCAACAACATAGATCGATGCTCAGAGTATCAATCACAAGATTGTTTGGTCAAGACTCAATTATAAACAGGACGCCATCAAATAGCTGTAATATTGGTGAGTGTGGTACACTCGCACACATATACTCCCAAGTATCTGACCTGGGTTTAATAATATTCTGCTATGACATTTTACAGATACTTATACTCACTCTGTTTAACGGCCATTTCCGCTGCCGTCGTGAAGGCAAGTTCACTGGAATCTACTGCATGGTGGGCACCTGTAGCAAACAGTGAGTGAGTGAGTGTGTTGGGTTTAACACTGCTTTTAACATTTTACCAGTTATATCACGGCGTGTCAGCTAAATGTGGGAGGAAAGCCCGAACTGATGCAGGTCTCAGACGTTTACCTCTTTGGTGAGACTGGGAAGATGTGCAGCTAGATGAGCTTCTCTAATATCTGAGAACTAGACATTAGGGCTGGGCTGGGTAACTCATCCCTAGTTGAAATTAACCTTGAAAGTTAAAGGGTCCTTGTCCCAGCCGACTTTAAAGAGTGAGTGAGTTTAACGCCGCTTTTAACAGTATTCAAGTTATATCGCGGCGTGTCAGCTAAATGTGGGAGGAAAGCCCGAACTGATGCAGGTCTCAGACGTTTACCTCTTTGGTGAGACCCACAAGCATGGGTATGGTGTTGACAAACCTATAAACATAATCGGGGCTAACCGGGATTCAAACCCACAATCATAGGTTTCTGGTGAAGCCAAGAGTCGCAACTCTGCACAGTGAATCGCGGCGCCTTAAGACGACTGGGACAGCCTTGCCCCCTGTAGAAAACAGTGATCTATTGGAGAGTGGGCTTAAACAATTTTTTGCAGAAATTCAGATATGTTATTTACAGATGGGGGAATATTGTCCGGTGTGAATGTCACCTTGCAATAGTGATTATGTTTTAACACATCTTCCTGAATCAAGGGCATTAACTGACTATAAAAATCCAGTTTTGACCCTTGCTGGAATTCCAGAGTTACATTTTGGCGGGACTAACAAGTTTATGCATAGTCCAATCAAAATCGTGTAACGAACTAGTCATCCAGTTCATAATTTAAACAACATGGATTCCATGTGCAGATTTCGGACGACTGAAGGATTTGCATAGCATGTGTACAGAGCCAGCTGGGCGTCGACAGATATTTTGCAAACCTTTTCATGTTTTTAATCAAGGTATTCAAGTGATCTCATGCACTTCATGAGGTAAGGCCTGTTTTATCACAATATAGATCTTCATTATCGATCAGATCATCTTGACTGTGCGCCACCTTTTTGTTTGCAGCAATTGCAAGTGATATGAGAGGTGGAATCGAATTGGTCAATAGGAGGGACATAGAAGGGACATAACTCGTAATAGCCGCTTGTGGCGCTACGATCGAGTCTGGAAATTTCAGCCTACTTCGACAAAGGTGGAAAATAGCACCCTTGCCTCGGGAAGATGGTTCTAACACTGCTTTAAACAGTATTTCAGTGACATCACTGTGGGAGGAAAGGAGGGCCCACAGTGATGCAGGACTTACCATACATGTGATGCCCACATTCACAGGTATGGTGCAGACAAACCTAGAAATTTAAAGGGGCGGTAGGGTAGCCTAGTGGTTAAAGCGTTCACACATCATGCCAAAGGCCAAGGTTTGATTCCTGACATGGGTACCATGTATGAAGCCCATTTCTGGTCTCCCCCGCCATGAATATTGCTGGAATATTGCTAAAAGCTGTGTAAAACCAAACTCTTTCACTCACTGGAAACTTAAAACTATTTTGATGACTGACATGCTACAATTGTTGCAGTTGACGCTGAGCCAGGAATTCAAGAGTAAACTTCTGAGTCAAACTGACACAATTATACACAATTTTAGAGACATTGTGCACAATTATAGAGACATTGTGCACAATTATAGAGACATTACATATGAACCATAACATGGTTTAGGGCAGGAAAATCACTCGAATCTGCTGATTTCGGAAGAATCAACTCACCCCTCAAGGACTCAAGGTTCTTCGGGAATCCCAGATTCTCAGTATTGCTACATGATCAGGGTGCCATCTAGCGAGGCAACAGCAGAGAGTCTGAGAATTACATGTACTCACATCAACCCTGGGTCTCAGTCCATAAAGCAATCGCTGTGTTTGACTCTTGTAAGTCCTACAACCCAACATTTAGAGAGTCATGGCACTATGGTTGCTTTCTGCCACTCCCACAATCTTGTGAGTGAGAAAAGTCTTACACTGCTCTTATCAATATTCCAGCAATATCACAGCAGAGCACACAAGAAATGGGCTTTAAACATTGTACCGATGGTGGGAACTGAACCCGGGTCTTCGGCGTGACAAGCGAACGCTTTAACCACGAGGCTACCCAACCGGCACCCCCTACAATCTAACATTTAGAGAGTCATGGTGCTATAGTTGTTTGGGGCATAAGGTATCGGACAATTTCAACATTTACCATCTTTAAGTCTGAAGACGACACCAGCAACTTTATGTCCAGTCAGTCCACCCTTTTCACACGCCTTCCGGAAACCCTGCAACAACCAATCAGCTGCCAGCATACTTTCAACCTTCTACTATGATACTAATGGACTAACACTGGCATATTAGCGCGATGTGTTTCAGTAATAAAATATTTAACATAAATAATATTTTTATGGAAAAATCATTTTGGCCAGCTTGACTAGGAAAATCATAAAAATATGTTAGGTCATGCCTGCAAATGATTCTCTTCAAATACTAACCGTGAAGATCCGGCATAGAATAGGTCTTCAGCAACCAATGCTTGCCGTAAAAGTCGATTATGCTTGTCGTTAGAAGCGACTAACGGTATTGGGTAGTCAGGCTCACTGACTTCGTTGATGCATGTCATCGTATCCCAATTGCGTGGATTGATGCTCATGATGTCAATCACTGGATTGTCTGATCCAGACTTGATTATTTACAGGCGCCATCATATAGCTGGACTACTGCTGAGTGCTGCATTAAACAACAAACAAACAAACAAAACATACAAGAGATATGCTTACCTTTTCAATGGCAGGAATATATTGCTTGGGTATATTGGTTCCTGTCGTCTCATCTTCAAACTCTAACTTGGTGTTTTCCTCTGGGGGTAGAGGCTGTAGTACAAAGGTCACATGTTGGAATGTCTCAAATTGTTCGAGGCAATGAGTGAGTAGCTTGTATTCAGTGGACTGACCCAGGGCTGACCCAGGACTGACCCAGGACTGACCCAGGACTGACCCAAGGCTGACCCAGGACTGACCCAGGGCTGACCCAGGGCTGACCCAGGGCTGACCCAGGACTGACCCAGGACTGACCCAGGGCTGACCCAGGACTGATCCAGGACTGACCCAGGACTGTTCCAGGACAAATCCAGGATTGACCCAGGACTGACCCAGATCCTTTTACAGTAAAGGGAAGCAACTCTGCACATGGCACTGTGATGCCTTAAACTGAAATGGGGTTCAACGCCGCGTTCAAGATTATTGCACTTGTATAGTGATGTACATGCATGTGTGAGTGTGTGACTACTATTCCGGACTGATGCTGGTTGTGTAATGCTAGCCCGCTGAAATACCATGCCGCTGTTTAACAGGAATACCTGACTTTAACACAGTATACCGACTCCGAGCCGACCTGTCCTTGCTTTATCCCCTTAATGCTGAGCGCCAGGCAGGGAAGCATCAAGTACCTTCTTTTAACATCGTCTGATATGACGCAGCTGGTGAACGAACTTCCCTCTCTCTATCCGCAAGACCACGGAGGAAGTCCTCAGACCACAAAGCCATGCTTGCCCGTAACAAAGAGACGTGTTGACTGTGTAATGGCACAATCTGAGACTTGCCGAAACTTAAAGTCCACTCACCTCCATAACCCCTATGACCCGACCATATTGACCTTGACCTCCACTTTGCTTTCGATGAAAGTAGTCAAAACTGAAAAACGTACATCAGAACCATTGTCAAATGGCAGCAAGAATAACACGCTGTTCAACAACTGGGGAAAACATACACAAACAGGGATCCATGCAACCTATTATTGTAAAATGATGCCTAATATTTATTTCTACATGCTCCAAGTGCAGGAGAAAAATCTGAAAATTTGTGTCTGACTAACCCTTACTTGTCCAAACAAAAATCAATCTTTGAACACACTAGTTCACGAATCCCTGTGTTACATGGAATTTGTGATGCTTTCTTAGGTTTATGTCATGAAAAGGTGGGAACTTCAATATTATGTGCACATGTTCATATCACAGCAATTTATTTGCAGTTAGACAAAAGAGAGAGTGAGTGAGTATGGTTTTATGCCGCTTTCAGCAATATTCGAGGAATATCACGACAGGGGACACCAGAAATTGGCTTCACACATTGTACCCATGTGGGAAATCGAACCCGTGTCTTTGGTGTTACACGCAAATGCTTTAACCAGTTAACCACACCACCCTGACACAAGAGTGAGTGAGTGAGTTGGCTTTAACGCCACATTTAAAAGTATTCCAGTTATATCATGGCGTGTCAGCTTAATGTGGGAGGAAAGCCCGAAGTGATGCAGGTCTCAGACGTTTACCACTTCAGTGAAACCCACGAGCACGGGTATGGTGTTGACAAACCTAGAAACATAATCAGGGCGAACCAGGATTCAAATCCACAATCATAGGTTTCTGGCGTGCCCAAGGGATGCAACTCTGCACAGCAAATTGCAGCGCCTTAGATGACTGGGCCACCCGTGCCACCCTGACACAAGAGTGAAAGGTACTCTCCCTGAATGCCATGTTATTGGTCGGATGGTCAGACTCTGTGACTTGCTTGATGCCCATGTCATCTATCCAAATTGCGTGGATTGATGCTCAAAATATCGATCATTGGATTGTCTGGTTCCATATTGTCTGTCATATAGCTGGAATATTGCCGAGTTAAACAACAAACAAATAAATAAGTCAATGACACATGCGAAAGGCTAACTTCCAACTGGATAAATAAAAAGACTTAATCAAAATAACAAAAACAAACTTCCACAGGTGATTTGAGTACTCACTCCACTTGACCCAGCAATGATTCCCTGAAGGCAACTTTAGGTTTCCCAAGCTGACACTTTGCATTGTATTCTCTCTCCAGCCTCTGAAGTGAAACAAACAGTTGATACATCTGGGTTCAAGGTTTGGTTTGGTTTGTTGTTTAACGCTGCACTCAGCAATATTACAGCTATATGACAGCGGTCTGTAAATAATCGAGTCTGGACCAAACAATCCAGTGATTAATATCATGAGCATCGATCCACGCCATTTGGATCGATGACATGCATCAACCAAGTCGGCGAGTCTGACCACCTGATCCTGTTAGTCGCTTCTTATGACAAGCATAGTCTCCTTCATGGGTAGATGAAGACTTATTCTACCCCAGATCTTCACGGGTTCAAGGAAAACAATAGCAGAACTTTCAAATAAACAGAAAGTGCTCAGCCCAGACAGACATGGCTGCTGACAAGCCTCATAGAGCATTAACACATTGGCATCTGAACAAACATACCTTAGCTGAGCATAGACTTAAACAGAGCCACTTGGAGGCAACCTCACCTGAGCATACACATCTGAGCATGCTCCCTTCACCTGGAATACTTACCTTACCTGAGCATTTACATTGTCACATAGTTTTGTAGTGAGCAAAATGAAGTACATTTTGGAGTAAATTTCACACACACACCTGGGCATAGTTGCCTTACCTCAGCATAAGCACCTGGACATAGTTGTCTCACCTGAGCATATACCCCATGACATAGTTGCCTCACCTGAGCACAGACACCTGGACATAGTTGCCTCACCTGAGCACAGACACCTGGACATAGCTGCCTCACCTGAGCACAGACACCTGGACATAGTTGCCTCACCTGAGCACAGACACCTGGACATAGTTGCCTTACCTGAGCACAGACACCTGGACATAGCTGCCTTACCTGGGCACAGACACCTTGACATAGTTGCCTTACCTGAGCACAGACACCTGGACATAGTTGCCTCACCTGGGCACAGACAGATGGAGACAGTTGCCTTACCTGAGCACAGACACCTGGACATAGTTGCCTCATCTGAGCACAGACAGATGGAGACAGTTGCCTTACCTGAGCACAGACACCTGGACATAGTTGCCTTACCTGAGCACAGACACCTGGACATAGTTGCCTTACCTGAGCACAGACACCTGGACATAGTTGCCTTACCTGAGCACAGACACCTGGACATAGTTGCCTCACCTGGGCACAGACAGATGGAGACAGTTGCCTTACCTGAGCACAGACACCTGGACATAGTTGCCTTACCTGAGCACAGACAGATGGAGACAGTTGCCTTACCTGAGCACAGACACCTGGACATAGCTGCCTCACCTGAGCACAGACACCTGGACATAGTTGCCTCATCTGAGCACAGACAGATGGAGACAGTTGCCTTACCTGAGCACAGACACCTGGACATAGTTGCCTTACCTGGGCACAGACACCTGGACATAGTTGCCTTACCTGAGCACAGACACCTGGACATAGTTGCCTTACCTGAGCACAGACACCTGGACATAGTTGCCTTACCTGAGCACAGACACCTGGACATAGTTGCCTTACCTGAGCACAGACACCTGGACATAGTTGCCTCACCTGAGCAAACACACCTGGACATAGTTGCCTCACCTGAGCAAACACACCTGCCTCACCTGAGCAAACACACCTGGACATAGTTGCCTCACCTGAGCACAGACACCTGGACATAGTTGCCTCACCTGAGCAAACACACCTGGACATAGTTGCCTCACCTGAGCAAACACACCTGGACATAGTTGCCTCACCTGAGCAAACACACCTGGACATAGTTGCCTCACCTGAGCACAGACACCTGGACATAGTTGCCTCACCTGAGCAAACACACCTGGACATAGTTGCCTCACCTGAGCATAGACATCGAGGTGTAGTTCTCCCATGCCGGAGGCGATGGTCTCCTTGACGTCATTGTCCCACTGTACACGGAAGGTGGGGTCCTCCTTCGTGAAGCGTGCGATGCCCTTGGAGAAGTTGTCCACATCCTGCTGCTTGAGGGGTTTGATCGACATGGAGATGACCGGTTCCGCCACAAACATGGACTCCTGCAGTCAAACAACAGGCAGTGAATACTGCACCACATACATGGACTCCTGCAGTCAAACAACGGGCAGTGAATACTGCACCACATACATGGACTCCTGCAGTCAAACAACGGGCAGTGAATACTGGACCACATACATGGATTCCTGCAGTCAAACAACGGGCAGTGAATACTGCACCACATACATGGACTCCTGCAGTCAAACAACAGGCAGTGAATACTGGACCACATACATGGACTCCTGCAGTCAAACAACAGGCAGTGAATACTGGGCCACATACATGGACTCCTGCAGTCAAACAACAGGCAGTGAATACTAGGCCACATACATGGACTCCTGCAGTCAAACAACAGGCAGTGAATACTGGGCCACATACATGGACTCCTGCAGTCAAACAACAGGCAGTGAATACTGGACCACAAACATGGACTCCTGCAGTCAAACAACAGGCAGTGAATACTGGACCACATACATGGACTCCTGCAGTCAAACAACGGGCAGTGAATACTGGACCACATAGATGGACTCCTACAGTCAAACAACAGGCAGTGAATACTGGACCACATTACATGGATTCCTACAGTCAAACAACAGGCAGTGAATACTGGACCACATACATGGACTCCAACAGTCAAACAACAGGCAGTGAATACTGGACCACATACATGGACTCCTACAGTCAAACAACAGGCAGTGATTACTGGACCACATACATGGACTCCTGCAGTCAAACAACAGGCAGTGAATACTAGGCCACATACATGGACTCCTGCAGTCAAACAACAGGCAGTGAATACTGGGCCACATACATGGACTCCTGCAGTCAAACAACAGGCAGTGAATACTGGACCACAAACATGGACTCCTGCAGTCAAACAACAGGCAGTGAATACTGGACCACATACATGGACTCCTGCAGTCAAACAACGGGCAGTGAATACTGGACCACATAGATGGACTCCTACAGTCAAACAACAGGCAGTGAATACTGGACCACATTACATGGATTCCTACAGTCAAACAACAGGCAGTGAATACTGGACCACATACATGGACTCCTACAGTCAAACAACAGGCAGTGAATACTGGACCACATACATGGACTCCTACAGTCAAACAACAGGCAGTTATTACAGGACCACATACATGGACTCCTACAATCAAACAACAGGCAGTGAATACTGGACCACATACATGGACTCCTGCAGTCAAACAACAGGCAGTGAATACTGGACCACATACATGGACTCCTGCAGTCAAACAACAGGCAGTGAATACTGGACCACATACATGGACTCCTTCAGACAAACAACAGGCAGTGAATACTGGGCCACATACATGGACTCCTACAGTCAAACAACAGGCAGTGATTACTGGACCACATACATGGACTCCTGCAGTCAAACAACAGGCAGTGAATACTGGGCAACATACATGGACTCCTGCAGTCAAACAACAGGCAGTGAATACTGGGCCACATACATGGACTCCTGCAGTCAAACAACAGGCAGTGATTACTGGACCACATACATGGACTCCTACAGTCAAACAACAGGCAGTGAATACTGGACCACATACATGGACTCCTGCAGTCAAACAACAGGCAGTGAATACTGGACCACAAACATGGACTCCTGCAGTCAAACAACAGGCAGTGAATACTGGACCACATACATGGACTCCTGCAGTCAAACAACGGGCAGTGAATACTGCACCACATACATGGATTCCTGCAGTCAAACAACAGGCAGTGAATACTGGGCCACATACATGGACTCCTGCAGTCAAACAACAGGCAGTGAATACTGGACCACATACATGGACTCCTACAATCAAACAACAGGCAGTGAATACTGGACCACATACATGGACTCCTGCAGTCAAACAACAGGCAGTGAATACTGGACCACATACATGGACTCCTGCAGTCAAACAACAGGCAGTGAATACTGGACCACATACATGGACTCCTGCAGTCAAACAACAGGCAGTGAATACTGGACCACATACATGGACTCCTGCAGTCAAACAACAGGCAGTGAATACTGGACCACATGCATAGCCGAAAGAATATTTTGATACATCAACTTTCACGATATATATATAAATTAATAACAAAATTAATTATTCTAAATATGTATGGACAAAACCTCTGTAGACCTGCAATTAATCAACTAAATGCTAAATATGAACTAGGCTTATCCATTAAATGCTTTAAACTGAATTTTCTGCCTTCATTGTCAGTCTTTTCGCCTCTTACAACAATCATAGTCACCTCTTACAGCAAGCATGGGTTGCTGAAGACCTATACTACCCCGGATCTTCATGGGCCATGTTTCAAACATTACAGCAATGACAAGGGCAGACTTTGCTCACATCAAGCTAGACTTCACAATTTCTTTACTAATGACAGACTACTTTGTGATATATTTGTAAGTTATTATAGTTAAAAAAATAGAAATATTGTGCACTGTGAAATTTCAAATGCAGGAGTGATTATTCTGCGAGATGATAAAATGTATGATTATTATAGCAAATCTCTGTTACTCACCATAGAGAGATGTGTGTTGCCCTTGGTTACGAAGGTATCACCACTGGCACAGTCAATACCAAACAAGGCACAGATGTCTCCAGCATAAGCTTCTGATATATCCTGAAGGAAAGTGATGCCATCAATGTTTATTTGTTTGTTTGTTGTTTAACACCGAACTCAGCAATTCCAGCTATATGACGGCAGTCTTTAGAAAATTGAGTCTGGACCAGACAATCAAGTAATTGATAATATGAGCATCGATCCACGCAATTGGGACACGATGACATGCGTCGACCAAGTCAGTGAGTCTGACCATCCGATCCTGTTAGACGTCTCTTACAACAAGCATAGTCGCCTTTTACAGGAAGCATGGGTTGCTGAAGACCTATTCTACCCCGGGTCTTCATGGGTCCCACGCAATTGGGATCGATGACATGCATCAACCTAGTCAGCGAGCAGTACTACCCGATCCCATAAGTCGCCTCTTACGACAAGCATGGGTATGGGAGCTCTGGATCCAATTACATAAAGTTATCTTAGCACTATGGTCATCGTAAAGTCAGTACTTTAACATAGACTGCTTTGTGCAAATGGGCCCTCGCCCACAGACTTACCTCCATCTCATCAGCATTCATGCGGACAAGCCGCGATACTTTGGTCTTCTTCTGTGTCCGTGTGTTGACAATGGTGTCCCCCTTCTTAATGCCGCCCTGGTAGACTCGGACGTACGTCAACTGACCAAATCGGCCGGCCTAGAACAAAAAGATCGTTGAAATTTGATAACTGATGTAATAATACACTGATTATAAATAGAAGAAATGCCATCGTGTATAAAGGACTGGTCATTGATTATAGCTGGGAGGGGGCAGGTTGGATTGCTCTTAGGATTGTATCATAATTTACGGTCCCCTACCCTCCGCCATAATAAATGACCTGCCCCTAAATTATGTTCAAATTTATCCTTTTTATATTTTTATATCCCCCCCCTACCCTCCCTATATAGTAGTGAATAATTTTGGCCACCTCCCCTCCTCTTTCACTGTATTTTTCCATGACCCCCCTCCCACAAAGTCTCAAGCGTGTTTACTAAGAAATCTCATCTTTGAGGTACTGAATCCCATCTATGACATACTGAATCCCAACTATAACGTACTAAATCCCATCTGTGTACTGAATCCCATCTGTGTACTAAATCCTATCTGTGCATGCTGTGTACTGAATCCCATCTGTGACGTACTAAATCCCATCTGTGTACTGAAGACCATCTGTGAGGTACTAAATCCCATCTGTGACGTACTGAATCCCATATGTGAGGTAATGGATCCCATCTGTAATGTACTAAATCCCATCTGTGACGTACTAAATCACATCTATGAGGTACTGAATCCCATCTGTGAGGTACTGAATCCCATCTGTGATGTACTGAATCGCAACTATGAGGTACTGAATCCCATCTGTGAGGTACTGAATCCCATCTATGACGTACTTAATCCCATCTATGAGGTACTTAATCCCATCTATGAGGTACTGAATCCCATCTATGAGGTACTTAATCCCATCTATGACGTACTTAATCCCATCTATGAGGTACTTAATCCCATCTATGAGGTACTGAATCCCATCTATGAGGTACTTAATCCCATCTATGAGGTACTTAATCCCATCTATGATGACTTAATCCCATCTATGACCTACTGAATCCCAACTATGAGGTACTGAATCCCATCTGTGAGGAACTGAATCCCATCTATGACATACTGAATCCCAACTATGAGGTACTAAATCCCATCTGTGAGGTACTGAATCCCATCTATGAGGAACTGAATTCCATCTATGACGTACTTAATCCCATCTATGACCTACTGAATCCCAACTATGAGGTACTGAATCCCATCTGTGAGGTACTGAATCCCATCTATGACATACTGAATCCCAACTATGAGGTACTGAATCCCATCTGTGAGGTACTGAATCCAAACTATGATGTACTGAATCCCATCTGTGACGTAGTGAATCCCAACTATGAGGTACTGAATCCCATCTATGAGATACTAAATCTCATCTATGAGGTACTGAATCCCATCTGTGACGTACTGAATCCCATCTGTGACGTACTGAATCCCAACTATGAGGTACTGAATCCCATCTGTGAGGTACTGAATCCCATCTGTGACATACTAAATCCCATCTGTGACGTACTGAATCCCAACTATGAGGTACTGAATCCCATCTGTGACCTACTGAATCCCATCTGTGACGTACTGAATCCCATCTGTGACATACTGAATCCCATCTGTGACATACTGAATCCCATCTGTGACGTACTGAATCCCATCTGTGTACTGAATCCCATCTGTGACGTACTGAATCCCATCTGTGTACTTTTCCTCAGCCATCCTGTATGTATAGGTGTGTTTCTTTTTGGGAGGAGTACACAAACTCCGGAGACAAAATCTAAGAATGTAATGGGAGGGAAAGATGACAATACCTCCAGTTTAAATGCGAGTCCAATGAAGGGATTGTTGTGAGTTCTGTCCGAGTCCATCAGCAGCTTCTCGGCTTTCTCTATCCTGTCATAACAGAAACAGGGGATGTTAGAATGAAAGACAACACTGAATATAGATAAAAAAGTATGATAGTGAGTGAGTGAGTATGTTTTTACGCTGCTTTTAGCAATATTCCAGCAATATTCATGGCGGGGGACACCAGAAATGAGCTTCATACATGGTACCCATGTGAGGAATCAAACCTTGGTCTTTGGCATGACGAGCAAATGCTTTAACAACTAGGCTACCCCACCGCCCAGATTCTGAATCAGGATGTCTATGTCATTTTGAGTTGTATATTGTGTAAGTTGTTGACTCCGGCTGTTACCATAAAAAACACACAAGAGGAACGAGGGGGCTCTCTTTGGTCTTATCATACCTTGAGGCAGATACATTCATAAACAATAAACAAGAGCCTGGGGTGAGCCTCACCCCTGGGAGTTGTCGAGGCAGTGGTTGTTGACCTGGGAGGGGTTGGGGAGGTACTGCAGGACGGCATCAAGTAAGGGCTGCACCCCCTTGTTCTTCAGGGCTGTCCCCACAAGCACCGGCGTGAACGTCCGCGCGATGCAGGTCCGTCTGATAGCTGCCTGAAATACACACATTACAAGTAGGGATCTGGGTTACAGTAGGTCCCCAGGACCCCAAGGCTTATTCAACTATTGAGACCGGGTTACAATAGGTCCCAATGGCTTATTCTACTATTGAGACTGGGTTACAATAGGTCCCCAGGACCCCAAGGCTTATTCCACTATTGAGACCGGGTTACAATAGGTCCCCGGCACCCCAAGGCTTATTCCACTATTGAGACCGGGTTACAATAGGACCCCAGCACTCCATGGCTTATTCCACTATTGAAACTGGGCTAGAATAGGCCCCACAACTCTAAAGCTGATTCTTCTATCGAAACAAGGTTAGAATAGGCCCCACTAGCCCCTGAATGCCGAGCATTGGGCAGGGTAACAACAAGTCCCATCTTTGAGCGCCTTTAGGTCGGGCATGTGCATGGATCAAACCATTCCCCGAGTCGACACTCTATCCATCAGACCTTGGAGGCGGTCTCCCCCTCTATGGGGTGTTATGATACAAAATCTCTCACACACTGCAACTGCCTAATCCTCATTGGCTCCTGTGAAAAGCTCTGGGACATGGGACGTATTCTGCCCAGGCACAGGTCAACACAGGAGTGTCTACTGGTGGTATTTAAACAGTGTCAGAGAAGAAATGTTTTAAATCCTAGAAACATGCTCTCACCTGTATCTCAACTTCCGTCGGTGTCTTCTCCTGCAGAAACATCTCACCCAGATTCTCGTCCACGTTAGCTATGTGTTCTGCAGTAGGCAAGAGAGTGAGTGAGTGAGTTGGTGTCGGCCCTACTTCGACCAAGGATCCTAACTGAGTCAAATCTACACCTTTTCACCATAAATTTCGAAATTAATCCATCTCCAAATTAAAACGACTTCTGACCACTAGCCAAAAATGTCACTCAGTATCAATGCGACCCCCTCCACCCCATCCCCAGTGGAATGAAACAATCCCTTATCCAATCAAACAGTAAATACACAGCTTATTAGCGCTAGTAGAGCACCTCTGTTAAAACAATAAACAGTGTTTTCCTAAAAACAACACACAGTTTATATGTTTACTCTGTTGACTGGCATTAAGGAAGTTCAAAAGCAATAAAATAATTGAACCTATAACAGTTCACTGATCGGTATGGGGAGTATGTATCAACAAGCTTGACACAAGTGGGTAGAACTCTTGACCCCAGCATTGATAACTCCTATTCTTCGAATGGCATTGTTATGGACTTGTTACAACTGCTGCTCAACAAACCGTGTTTGTGTTTATAATCATGTTGGTATTTCCGCTATCCTAAGTGTGCAGTGAGGTCGTCTTATTGTTGATAGTCATTTGGAAACATAAAGTTCATTAATGAGAGCAAAGACCACTTGCATTTTTTGCATTTAACTCACGCTCGCGTTAATTTCAAGATTTACAGTGTTTGAGTGAGTGAGTTTGATTAAATGCTGTTTTGAACAGTATTTTGGTCATATCACCGTGTGTCAGCTTCGGGAATGTCCGAAGTGATGCAGGTCTTTTACCATTTTGGAGTGTGGTCCCCTAGAACACATGGTCATCTTATTCATATTTGACATGGTCACATGTAGGATCATTATGCTAAAATACCAGTTGCATAAGCCATCTTCAGAAGAGATGTCACAGTGTTCTACACAGGCATACATGAAAGTCAAGATCATAACAAGGTCATAACAAGGTCAAACAAGAATTTCAGACATAATTTTTACCTATGTGTTTGCCAAAATACACAAATGCTATTTTGTTAAGTACTTGCATTTCCAATGTACCTTAAATGGCAACACTTAAAATTAGGAGTTGATTTCAATGTGCAACTTTTCATTGGCACTATACAAGTTTGAGCTTCATAAGTTCTACAGTTTCAGAAGAGAGAGATGTCTGATGTGTGGAAATTACTAGAGCTCCAGATAACTTTTTGAGCAATTGAGTTTTTACTCTGGGGTTTCTATTTAAATTGGGTTATTACATTTTACATTTGGTAGCCAATATTTTTTCACTCATCCATTCATCACTCTATTGATTATTTCCCAAAATTAGTGAACATTTTAAAATTAAAAAAAAAATGAAATAATGTTTTAGATCTATATAACTATTCTAAATATTTAGGCTTGACTCAGAAAGTAAATTAGCTCGTAATTGTGTTTTGGAAATTAGCTCCTTTGTACGCATGCTGAATAAGCTTCATTGGGTATTTACGTGTGCTGTTTTTAAACATTTGAGTTTTAAATTTCAGTGTTTTACCTAAATACATTGCTTATCTGTAGCCAGGTTTTGTCCAAGTGAGCTAACATGGTACTTCAAAGTGTGATGTGGTCCAGGTGAGCTAACATTGTACTTCAATGTGTGATGTGGTCCAGGTGAGCTTACATTGTACTTCAATGTGTGATGTGGTTCAGGTGAGCTAACATGGGACTTCAAAGTGTGATGTAGTCCAGGTTAGCTAACATGGAACTTCAAAGTGTGATGAGATCCAGGTGAGCTTACATTGTTCTTCAAAGTGTGAAGCGGTCCCAGGTGCTATTGTGGCAAACAATCTTAACACTACTATTGTCGTCAGTCTATGTTAAGGTGTGAGAGTTACGATGACTTAAGCGCTAAGATCACTTTGTACAACAGCACCCAGGTGAGCTAACATGGTACTTCAAAGCTTTATATGGTCCAGGTGAGTTAATATGGTACTTCAAAGTGTTACGAGGTCCAGGTGAGGTAACGTACTTCAACACGTGATGAGATTCAGGTGAGCTAACATGGTACTTCAACGTGTAATGTAGTCCAGGTGAGCTAACACTGTACTTCAATGTGTGATGTGGTCCAAAGTGCCATTGTACAAAACAACCTTAGCTCAACAACTGTTGTAAGTCTATGTAAAGGTATGGGACTTTACGATCACCTTAGCGCTAACATCGCTTTGTTCAACGGCACCCAGGAGAGCTAACATGTTACTTTAAAGCATGATGTGGTGCAGGTGAGCTATCACAGCATTTGAAAGTGTGATTTGAGACGATACAAGTTATGCATTGGAAATTCATGTACAACTGACCGATCATCTCCTGTCTGCGGTCTGCTGATTCCGCCCTCATTTCTGCTGGAATCTCATCTTCATAGACATTGATTCTGAAACACAGCATATACGAGTGAGTGAGTGAGTGAGTGAGTGAGGTTTAATGCTGCTTGTAACAGTATTCCAGTTATATCACAGCGTGTCAGCTTAATGTGAGAGGAAAGGCCGAAGTGATGCTGGTCTCAGACGTTTACCACTTTGGTGAAACCCACAAGCACAGGTATCCTAGATGAGAATCCTAGAAACATAATCGGGGCGAACCGAGCCTCGAACCAAATCATAGGTTTTTGGCGTGCCCAAGGGACGCAACTCTTAGACGACTTGGCGACCCCCAAAACACGTATGAGATATTCTTAACTAGAGGCTATATTTCAAAACATAATTAACAAGATACAAAAATCATTTATCATGGTTAAAACATTACAACATTTAATATGTACATATTGTGTGGAAATATCAAAGTTTTAGAAAATATCATTACTTAGAAAAATAATTCAAAGAGCATTAATGAGCAAATCAGTATCTGTTTTGAAACTGTCTTGTTTAATTTCATTTAGGGATGAATTTGAGAAGTATATGGATGGATGGATGGATGGATGGAGTCCTTTCTAATCTGAATGCTTACATAATGCACTTACCCGTGAGGATCCCCAAAATATATAGCTTTCTGGTGTACGAGATCAACGACTCCCTTCTGGTTGGCCTCAAGTCCGATTGGCAGCTGGATGAATGCTGCATTGTGGTTCAGCTTTGACCTGTAACCATGGTAACAATGACAATCATCCATTCTGATCGGTGCTTCAATGAAGATGATTTGAATTTAATTCACAATATTTTGAGAAGTGAATGAATATTTATCCTGCAGTCGGGAATATTTCAACAACCTATCATTAACTGACGTCAACTGACGACCATGATTTACAGGAGTCTATTGTTACTCCATCCAGATCTCGTACCCAGCAGGAGGCGATTGTTGCAAGTGGTGTTCAGAAGGTCTAAACATCGTTGCAATGGATTTGTTTGTCTGTTTATCTGTTTAACGCCGCACTCAGCGAAATTCCAGCTATATGACGGCGATCTGTAAATAATCGAGTATGGACAATCCAGTGATTGACATCATGAGCATCGATCCATGCAATTGGGACACGATGACATGCATCAACCAGGTCAGCGAGCCTGACCACCCGATCCCGTTAATCACCTCTTACGACAAGCTCAGTCACCTTTTATGGCAAGCATGGGTTGCTGAAGACATATTCTTCCCCTGGTTTTCACAGGTCCATTGCAATGGTATGCAATTTTCCATAATCAAACAAAAACGATTTTGACCCTTTACTCAAGTTCTCAAAAGTTCTATTCTTTCATTTTTTGTTGTAAAACTTTTACAAACCTGTAGAGGTTATGAATTCTCTGATGAAATCCTCCTTGGGGCACTTATTGCATTTTCCTTGCTCAAGAAAATCTACATGACATAGTTGTAACCATTTTCCTTAATAAAAAATGTTACCACACAAAAAACTTCGTTTTTGTATGATATACGACCACCCTTACGGGGCCTCACCCCCAACGGCGCCTCACGCCAGGGGGAGCAACTCTCACCCAAATCACTTTCCATATGTCAAATGCTGACGGAATAAGGGGAGGTGGGTGGCCGTGCCCCAAGGAGGATTTCATCAGAGAATTCATAACCTCTACAGGTTTGTAAAATTCTCTTTCTGATTAAATCCTCCTTGGGGCACTTATTGCATCAAGACAGACTCCCAAAGATAATCTAGGAAGTGGCATCCGTCAGCAACAGGCGTAAATAAATACATCGTATTTGATTATTCAACAGAATAAAATATTGAGTTCAATAAATGGAACCAACCTTATCGTGAGGCACCACCGTCGAAAGGCGGGGGCTAGAGACCGGGCGTGGTCGACCATATATTATGATAAAGCCTGTTTTTGCGGCTTGTCATAAGTTGAGAACTCGAAACACCTCCCACCCCCCCACACTTTTTTTGAACAAGTGATATAAGGGCGTAGATCACGAGAGACCATGACCAGCGCTGAGTTAGGCCAGAGGGTCCCCGAGGATCGAAGGAGTGCGTGCGCAAAATACGAGTATTATCGAGTAGTAAGGACTGATATTTATCGACCGCAGAAGATAAAATCCAAACCATTACTGAGCAGTATAACCGGAAGACTGTCTAAAATCTCGAATGCTCAATCAGCTAGAGATTAGAACTTTGCCCAGTTCGGAGAACTGACTGACCAAACCGAGTACGCTCGCTTGAGTGTTTGTCGAGTTGGTAAGGTTTGATGAATCGTGCTCGGCTGGCTCCAAATAGCCGCGGCGTACGCTTTTGACGCAGCCACTGCTCTAACCTAATAAGCCTTTAACCTGGTTTGGGGTCCCTGCCTGTAAGCGTATACGCTGTACAAATGTTTGAAACTATCCACCTCGAGATAGATTGTTTACTCGCAGGTGAGCCAACCTTCCTACCGCAGTAACAGCAAAATAGTTGGTTATCCTTACGGACACCCATATTTCTGCTGATATAGGCCTTGAGAGTCGTGCGGACATCCAAGACATGAGCATGTCTTGCAGTGGTCCCCGACGAGGAAGGCTGTGAAAGAGCAGGTAGCTCAATAGGAGCCGTTCACGTGGAATCGTGTGCGACCCTAGGACGGTAATAGTCCGGTAGACGAAAACTGACTGTCCCGGTGATATTTATCGACCCCATGGAAGACAGTTATTTTGGGATCGGCTGACATAACACGAATGTCGCCTACCCGTCTGCCGGACGTTACCACCACAAGGAACGCCGTCTCCCAGCTCAACAGCTGAAGAGAGAGAGACGACAGATCCCGAAAGGAAGGACCGGACAGCCAATCGAGAATGATTGACAAGTCCCAAGGGGGACTGATCCGCCGGACTGGCGGTCGGATCCTGTCCACACCTGCTAAAAAGCGCTGCACTAATGGGTGTGCACCCAGAAGTGCCCCGTCGACAGGGACGTGAAAAGCTGCGATAGCTGTAGAGTACCCTCGGACTGTCGATGCGGCCATCTCCTGACTGGAGAAACTCAAGCACGGATACGAGATCTGCAGAAAAAAAAAAAAAATCTGCAATCCCTCTATCGACACACCAGGGCGCATAGCAGGCCTATCTATCGTACTGAACGTTTGTCGAATCCCTCCGCGAAGCCAGTATTGTGTCTGCAACTCGTGCAGGAATACCGCTCTTCTGGAGGCGATTCCTGACAGTGGCCAAGCCACCCATTGAATCCTGAGATTCGGGTGGAGGACCCCGTTCTGGGATAGGAGGTCCGGTCGTAAAGGTAATAGAACAGGAGGCTGAGCCAGAAACCTGAGTATTACTGGAAACCAACTCTGCGCCGACTAAAGAGGTGCCAGGAGCACAATTAGTCGCGCAGGCTGAGTGCCTAGCTGAGACAGGACCTTGGAAATCAGAGGTACTGGGGAGAATGCCCACAGAACTGTCCGTCCAATCTAGCTGAAAGGCGTCCGGTGCCACCGACCTCGGGTCGTGGACTCGGGAGCAGAACGTTGGTGTCTGGTTATTTAACCCAGACGCAAACAGATCCACCTGTAACGACCTGTATAACAGGGAGAAAATCCCGAATATCCCCGGGTCCAGCCTCCACTCGTGAGGAGCGAGGATCCGGCAAGACAGAGCGTCCGCACGGACGTTGTCCACCCCCGGGAGATAAACAGGTAGCACCCTGATATCATGAGAGTCGCACTATAGTAGGAACTGCCACGTCTTTTGTCGAAGCGACGGAGACGCCGTTCCCCCCTGCTTCCGGATGTAAGTCATCGCCGTTTGGTTGTCCATCTCTAGACGAACCACTTGGCCACGAAGCAGATCCGGGAAGCGTTGAAACACCAACCTGACCGCTCTCAGTTCTAGCACATTGATATGCAGTTTGATCTCCTGCTGGGACCATAGTCCCGAGGCAGTGTGATCATTCAGAACGCCTCCCCAGCCGGAGAGTGACGCGTCTGTTTGAACTGTGAGAGACGGAACGGGAGTGATTCCTGACCTCGGTCCACCACTGGAGGTGTGTAATGAGCCACTAGGGAGTCTCGAGCACAGTCTCGAGATCTTCCGAGTTCGCCCAAAGTCGACGGAGTGCTTGTTGAATGGGACTCATTCTCAAGAGCGCCCGCCAGACCAAATCCACTGTCGCCGCCATGTTGTCCAGTAACTGGAGCCATGTACGAGCAGTGTGACTTGCGCTTAAGGGACTTGATATCTTGTGACAGGGATACACGTCCTCTCACCGTGTTGAAATTAGCCACTAGGAAGACTAGATTCTGAGTGGGGCTCAGATCTGACTTCTTGAGATTGACCATCCACCCTAGAGTGATCAGAATATCTATCACTTGTTGTGTAGCTATCTGACTCAGGGATTGCAATAGAGCTCTTAGTAACCAGTCGTCGAGGTACGGATGGCAGAACCGGCCTTTTGACCTGGCCACTTGGGCGGGAATCAACATCAGCTTGGTGAACACCCTCGGGGGCCGTGGAGATCCCGAATGGTAGAACCCTGAACTGATAACACCTCCCGTCGAAAGAAAACCTCAGGTATTTCTTGAACTCGGGGTGTATTGGTATGTGGAGATAGGCGTATTTTAAGTCTATTGACGTTAGCCATTCTCCTGTCTCGACAGTTGAGATCACTGTTTGGTGACTAGGAAACAAGTCGAGTAGAAGCCCTCGCTTCCCTGTCCCTCGGGACCCGGTTCGATCGCAGCTTTCATAAGAAGTGCGTTGACCTCGGCACGGAGGAATTCCGCCTTCTCTCGGGTAGCAGGCACCGGAGTGTGCTTTATCCCGGAAAAGTGGAGGAGCGGATGAGTTTTCCACCGAGGCAAATGGCCATCCCTTAAAATGGACGGGGTCCGGGGATTGTGATGTAACTGTCTCCCATTCCTTCAGGAATAGAGCCAGTCGGCCGCCTACGGGGACATCCGGCTGGAGGCAGTGGACCCCGACTGGAGGCAGTTCGATAACTTGCGACTGTGGGTTCACCCGGGGCTCTTCGGGCGCTAATGGGAACCCATCGTTCCCAGCCCCGCGAAAAAGCTGTTGGCCTCGACCAGCTGCCTTGCCCCGGCCCGTGCCTCTCTTGCTCCTCCCGGCGCCCTTATACCTGAAGGAAGCGGCGGCTTCCAAGCAGGTGTGGACGTCTGACCCGTGTGTTAGCGTAGGAGGGGACAATTGGAGAGGCCCGCTTACGCGGTTTTAACGCTTGGTACCTCCAACAAGGCCTTATGAGTCTTTGATGGAAGTATACAATTGAGCAGCCTCTCGGACCACCTGCTGAGCCCCAGGGAAGAGGGTGGCACCCTCTTATACGGCAAAGCAAGTAGGTCTTGGCGTGTGTAAGTCGAGTATTTAGATACCGACATCCACCGCCTGCGCATGCCCATAACAGCGCACATCATCTGCGAGGCACAGCTACGAATAGCGTCCCGCGCGAGATAACTGAACTTCCGTTAGTTGCGCGGCCAACTCCGAAGAGTCGGCCGGCCCCTCTCCCGCTAACTCCCTCTGTACAGCCGACAGATACGCGGAGTGTACGGACACACGGAGCTGTTGGCATGCATTATGATATTGCTCCTCGAAGCATATGTAAGCAGCCTTCAACTCCGCACCGCACACGGGAAAGGGGGGGGGGGGCAACCGCCGGCCCTGCTTGACCTTAGTCAAGTTGGGTGTCTCCGACTCTGGCATGGGCGCAGCCACCTGAGGCAGTACCTGGACAATCCTGTCCCGCACGTGTCTCTGCACCCGGCCCGAGGCAGGGTCCCGGTGCCAAGTCCCGGTGCCGAGGTGCCGTAGGTTCAAGGGAACCCACCTGGCACTGGGCTAGGTATCCACTAGTGAAAGCCTCGGCCTCGGAAGAGGCGTCTGGCTCCGCTAGGGAAAATTGTGCGTCGGTAGTGCACGGGCCGGTGCCCGCCACCACTACGCTGGGGAGCGACCTCGAGCCGGAGCCGAAGCTCGGTCTCGGATCGTCCCCGAGACAAAGGGAACCAACCTGGCTTCGGGCTAGGTATCCACTAGTGAAAGCCTCGGCCTCGGAAGAGGCGTCTGGCTCCGCTAGGGATAAATTGTGCGTCGGTAGTGCACGGGCCGGTGCCCGCCACCACTACGCTGGGGAGCGACCTCGAGCCGGAGCCGAAGCTCGGTCTCGGATCGTCCCCGAGACCAAGGGAAACCCCCCTGGCTCCGGGCTACGAATCCACTAGTGAAAGCCTTGGCCTCGGAAGAGGCGTCTGGCTCCGCTAGGGAAAAATTGTGCGTCGGTAGTGCACGGGCCGGCGCCCGCCACCCCTCCGCTGGGGAGCGACCTCGAGCCGGCGCCGAAGCCCGGTCTGAGATCGTCCCCGAGACCAAGTGGCCTGCCTCGGCCGACGCCGGGCATATCACAAGGTCTCGAAGCCGCGTCCGGCGCCGACAACGGGGAAGGCTCGGTCCGCATCTCCTCTCGGAGCTGAGACTTTACCTCCTCCATCATCGACGCCATCTGCGACTTAAGTAACGCAGAAAAGTCTGCCAAAGACAGTGCAGGAGAGGGTGCAGTGCTTACTATGGGGACCCTCGAGCCTTCTCCCCCGGCCCCCGGAGAGGTAGCGGGGGAGACAATCTCGGCAGCTTTTTTACCCTTTTTAGATGGGGAGGGGGGGAGGATGTCTTAGTAGATCTGATATCTACCCCCGTCTTTAATAGACCTCTTTAAAGTGGAACAAGTCAACTTGTCTCTTTTGGGGGGCCCCGGGGGGTAAAGGCAATGTCCTCCGCCAGACATATTAGGCAGCGTTCGTGCCTGTCTTAGAACAACCCGTACACAGTTTGAAGGTCTTGTAAACAAGACCGTAATTTCTGAGGTGGGCGGGAAGGGTATCAACGTGTATCAGTGCGATATAAAGATCGGAAATATACGTGCATAAATTGTGAAACTAGAAGCAAAGGCGTAATGTAGAATGCGATTTGTAACGCGATACTAATAGCCAATGTCGTAGTATAATTATAACACCAAAGGGGCGTGTTACGTCTGTCTCTTACAGATGACATAAGGAAAAGTGATTTGGGTGAGAGTTGCTCCCCCTGGCGTGAGGCGCCGTTGGGGGTGAGGCCCCGTAAGGGTGGTCGTATATCATACAAAAACGAAGTTTTTTGTGTGGTAACATTTTTTATTAAGGAAAATGGTTACAACTATGTCATGTAGATTTTCTTGAGCAAGGAAAATGCAATAAGTGCCCCAAGGAGGATTTAATCAGAAAGAGAATCCACACACCCCATCACAAGAGAACTGCATAGCAGATGAACAAAAAGGTGTCCCGAGTTCTGAAGCGGTAACAGTGTAAGTGCAGCCAGTTCCCTGTAGAATGCGTGACATGACAGGTGCAATATGTGATGCATGTAAATAAGTCCGAAATGACAAAATCGTCAAATCTCTGTAGATCGCACTTGTAAAAATGGAGCGCATGATCCAGTCTATCTTCACTCCCTTGATAATGTCTATACTCATAGGGGTAAAATAACCAATCTTAAACGTTAAATATTTGAAAATCTTCTTGAGCAACAGATTGAATAAAGTCAGTTGATTCCGTGCAGTAGGAAAGGGAGGGCCAATCTAGACTGCCATAATGTCTCAAAACCGAAAGTTAATCTGATCCAGGCAATGCGTAGATGAATGAGTGAGCCAGTGGGATTATATGTCCCTTGTAGAAATAGTCCAACAAGGTCACGTTGAATCTTATATAAACCATACAGTATCGTTGGTGTTCAAAGTGGGATGACTGTAGAACGTGAATGTGTATCCACACGCAAACAGACTGTGGTCGCCGTAAAGGCGGGAAAATTCAGCTCTGGAGAAATGTGAATGAAATGCATCTTCCATTGATAGTTTAGTGATGGTCACTATTGTTGTCTTGAAAAAAGACAAGGGAGGTAAGGCAACAATGGAGTACCTGTTCGCTTAGGATTCTTGGCTGACGACATACAGAATTCTTAAACGAAGCCTTGAAATGCTGATCCACCGAATGCTTGACAAAGGCCATGCCATGGTATGATTGTTACTGTGGTATGTTCCGAATCGGGAAAAATATTAGAAAAACTGCCCATAGCTCTGTCTGGTGAGGTGAGGTGAAATGGGGTTTAACGTTGCGTCCAAGATTATTGCACTTATATAGCGACGTGCATGTACGTGTATGTGTATGTGTTGCTGCTTGTACTAGTCCGGGATGATGCCGATTTATAGTGCTAGCACACTGAGATACCATGCCGCAGTTTAACATGAATACCCCACTCAGACACAGTATACTGCCCTCGAGCTGACCAGTCCTTGTTTTAGCCCCTTAATGCCGAGCGCCAGACAGGGTAACAACAAGTACCATCTTTTAACGTCTTTTTGTATGACACGGTCGGGGATCGAACCCCGGACCTTCCGCTCTCCGGGCGGACGCTCTACCACCAGACCACGGAGGCGGTCAGCTCTGTCTGGCAACAAGTAAAAATTATAATATGTTTACAGAGAGCAGCACAGTTGCTGCAGCTGTTCCAAACTCACCTCAACTGTGTGAGGACTCGGTGTGGGTTGGCCCCCATCCTGTCCAGCTTGTTGATGAATGCCAGACAGGGAACACTGTAGCGCTTCATCTGCCTATTGACGGTGTACGTCTGACTCTGGACGCCCCCGACACCACACAGCACCAGCACAGCGCCATCCAGGACACGCAGTGCTCGCTCCACCTCTACTGTAAAGTCCACGTGACCTGCAACACAATCACATCTATAAGAGTGAGTTGGGTTTAACGCCCCTTTTAACAGTATTCCAGTTATATCACGGCGTGTCAGCTTAATGTGGGTGTAAAGCCAGAAGTGATGCAGGTCACAGATATTTACCACTTCGGTGAAACCCATGAGCACGGGTATGGTGCTGACAAACCTAGAAACATAATCGGGGCGAACCGGGATTCAAACCCACAATCATAGGTTTCTAGCGTGCGCAAGGGACGCAACTAAGCACAGCGAATCGCGGTGCCTTAGACGACTGGGCCACTCGTACCCCTATGGCTATAAGAATCTGCGAGTCTGTAAATATTGAAATTATTTTGAGCAATTGTGTCATACTGATTTTACAAAGTGAGTGTCCAAATTCTTGTATTTCCTGAGCGAGAATGAGGGTAATACAAAAAGATTACTACGAGTGCCTGTCACATATAATATTGAGTTGTAAGATAAATTGTATTTCACAGGCAGAAGAGCAGTAACCTAATTCTTACACACCCAAAAATAGTAACATTTCAGCATTGAATCAAAGAATACTTTGTCTATTCTCAGGAATATGATAAGCATGGGTTGCTGGAGACCAATTCTAACCTGGATCTTCATAGGTGTGTCTGCTTGTACTAGTGCAAATAATATAAGGCAGTTTTCTAGTGCTAGCCCACTGAAATACCATGCCACAGTTTTAACATGGATACCCCACTCAGATGCTCTAACCTGACCAGTCCTTGTGGTACACCATTAATCCCGAGCGCCAGGCAGGGTAACAACAAATCAAGGAATGTCCTTTGGTGGGACGCGACCAGGAGATCGAACCACCGACTTCCACTCTCTGGGCTGTCCACCACACCATGGATACGGGGTTCCTAATGAGTGAGTGAGTGAGTTGGGTATAAATCCGCTTTTAATAATATTCCAGTTATATCGCGGCTTGTCAGCTTAATGTGGGAGGAAAGCCCAAAGTAATGCAGATCTCAGATGCTTACCACTTTGGTGAAACCCACGAGCACGGGTATGGTGCTGACAAACCTAGAAACATAATCGGGGAGAACCGGGATTCGAACCAGCAATCATAGACTTCTGGCATGCCCAAGAGACCCATCTCTGCACAGCGAATTGCGGACCCTTAGACAACTGAGCCACCCATGCCCCCCCCCTCCCCCCCCCAAATCCAGGAAGAATAAGTTGCTATATCACCTGGAGTGTCAATGATGTTGACGTTGTGGTCTCTCCACATGATGTAAGTGGCCGCGGACTGGATTGTGATGCCTCGCTGACGCTCAAGCTCCATGAAGTCCATCTTTGCGCCCACCTCATCCTTCCCCCTCACCTGAAAAGGTCAAGGTGAACAAAAGGTTATGGTGTTAAACCTAGAAGGGGCATGGCACAACTCATGTTTGAAGCTGAATGAGACAATTACAGTAAACTACAGTCATAACGAACTCAAAGGGGAATTAATTTTAGTTTGTTATAACAGTTGTTCATTATAAGCATGTATACATCAAATACACAGCGAAAGGCCGGGACAAAAATCAGTTCTTATATCTGTCAGTTCGTTTGAAGCGTGTTTGTTATAAACGTAATTTACCATGTTTACTATATGTTGAATGAGACAATTATCTTGAACGGGAGAAACAAGTTGAATGAGGCAATTATGTTGACTGAGACAATTATGTTGAATGAGGCAAACGTGTTGATTGAGACATTTATGTTCAATGAGGCAAACGTGTTGAATGAGACATTTATGTTGAATGAGACAAACATGTTGAACGTGACAATTACCTCGTGCATTTCTGCTAGTCTGCCTGTGTAAAACAGAAGGCGTTCTGTGAGAGTTGTCTTTCCCGAATCGATGTGAGCCGAGATCCCAATGTTTCTGATCATCTTCACATCTTCTTGCACTTCCTACATTTACATAAACAATGTAACCATGGTCACAAATACAGTCATCGGAATCACTCGAAACATCATTTTCAGTATCCTTTCTATTCGACAACCAACAATGTGACAAATAACGACACATAGCACATAAATTATAGTTGTCAAAATAAGACCTTTCTTGCAGGATCAGGACAAAATGAAACTGTTTAAAAGCAAAGCTCAATGACAACATTTCTAGTTCTGTTTCTTGACATTAATAAAATACCTTATTCAGTGTTGCTGTGTTAAACATCAACTAAAATGACAAACTTAAACTGTTTACATAGAACAAAAACAATATTTATTATATGTAACTGTGAATGTACTTCACTTGCTTATCACTTGGATTTATTCCCCTTTTATCAGGATTTAATGGAATTAAAGGCGTCACTTACTCCAAGTTTTCTTGTGGAGTAGGATACTGCTTGGAACTGAAAAAGCAAACAAAAAATGTAACCAATTGTCCATCTCATCCAAAATGGACATGCAACCAATTGTCCATCTCATCCAAAATGAACATGCAACCAATTGTCCATCTCATCCAAAATGGACATGCAACCAATTGTCCATCTCATCCAAAATGAACATGCAACCAATTGTCCATCTCATCCAAAATGGACATGCAACCAATTGTCCATCTCATCCAAAATGAACATGCAACCAATTGTCCATCTCATCCAAAATGGACATGCAACCAATTGTCCATCTCATCCAAAATGAACATGCAACCAATTGTCCATCTCATCCAAAATGAACAAGCAACCAATTGTCCATCTCATCCAAAATGGACATGCAACCAATTGTCCATCTCATCCCAACTGAACATGCAACCAATTGTCCATCTCATCCCAACTGACATGCAACCAATTGTCCATCTCATCCCAACTGAACATGCAACCAATTGTCCATCTCATCCAAAATGAACATGCAACCAATTGTCCATCTCATCCCAACTGAACATGCAACCAATTGTCCATCTCATCCAAAATGAACATGCAACCAATTGTCCATCTCATCCAAAATGAACATGCAACCAATTGTCCATCTCATCCCAACTGAACATGCAACCAATTGTCCATCTCATCCAAAATGAACATGCAACCAATTGTCCATCTCATCCAAAATGAACATGCAACCAATTGTCCATCTCATCCAAAATGAACATGCAACCAATTGTCCATCTCATCCCAACTGACATGCAACCAATTGTCCATCTCATCCAAAATGAACATGCAACCAATTGTCCATCTCATCCCAACTGAACATGCAACCAATTGTCCATCTCATCCAAAATGAACATGCAACCAATTGTCCATCTCATCCCAACTGACATGCAACCAATTGTCCATCTCATCCAAAATGAACATGCAACCAATTGTTCATCTCATCCAAAATGAACATGCAACCAATTGTCCATCTCATCCAAAATGAACATGCAACCAATTGTCCATCTCATCCAAACTGAACATGGCAGAGTCATTGATTATTATCATGATCAACAAATTGTTGAGAAAACCAATGTGCATGAATTGACAACAGATAAGTTTTAACATTTTTAAGAAAAGAGTAAATTCACTTTCTTGAAAAATGCACAAATGTTAAGTTGCTGTTAAAATATATGTACACTGGAGAAAATCACAGTTGAAAATAATTAACTTTCATACCTTTTTATCCAGATTTGACAAATATATCACAAATATTTTAGTGTTATTTTGTAAATTGTGTAATCCTCAATACCTATGTTTAATGGTGTTACATACAGAGCTCCAGATAACCCGCTTCACGTTCATGTGTTTGTCGGTTCTGTACCACCAAAGGGACATTAGTCGACGGTTCTGTGTGTTTTGTTTTTCCGAGTGTGATGTTACATGTCCAATTCAATTCTCAAACCAAACCAATAGAACTCTACACTGTGAAGTCGACAACACAAGTTCTGCGCAGAGTAAGTTGGCTTAAGTCTTGCTTTTCAAAAAGAATTGAAGAGAAAGTTTGTGTGTTTTTCTTAGGGCTGAATTACAAAATACTTATTGCCATCTTGATTAAGATTAGAAGCCAGTGTTGTCAAAGCCTAAACTACAACATAAATATGCCTTAGTTGTATCTAGGTATGAAGTCAATCACTTTCCTACCAGAGATCCTTGCGGCCAGCAGAGTCAACTCTGTCACATTGTCACATCTTAATCAGTCCATACATGTTTATTCATCTATTTCATTTTGGACGAGTCTACACACATGGATAAGCATATGTCATGAAATGTTTAACTTTCATTGAGAAAATATCCTAAAACGTGAAAAATTATTTCCATTTGCAGATTTATCCTCCAGGTACTGTCATCAAAGCACATTTCTGGTGTCCCCCGCCGTGATATTGCTGGAATATTGCTAAAAACGTCGTAAAACCATAATCAGTCAGTCAGTCATCAAAGCTCTATGAAGAGCTCAAGACACTTATGTTCACTTTGATGTGTAAAGCACTTGCCATGCACCTCACTGCCGCAATTGCGGTGGAAGTATATCTACAGAATTATGCAAAACAATATGTAAAGCACACTGAAAGGCTCCCATCAGGTCCGTCTGTTCATATTTCAGAAAAAGTATTTTTGTTTACAAACAAGTTAAAAATCCGGTCACATGATAAACCAACAACGGCGATGTGGTCACTGGAGCAGAAATGGAGTTGAGCAAGCTCAGGGGCTATTGGCTACTGTTTATAAACAATGCTTCAGAACTGTCGATGTTTTGTCCCCTTAACAATGAAATGAGAATTACATATATTTGCTTCACTTAAGAAAACCAACTTGGGATCCAGTAAGAACTATAAAAATATATAGGGAACTGGACAATCCGAACCCACGGAGAACCGAAACTTGCGTATTGTTGGACTCTTACACAAAGTTTGACAACCCCTACACAATCAGGTGAGGTGTAATTGGGTTTAACGTCGCATCCAAGATTATTGCATTTATATAGCGATGTGCATGCACGTGTGAGGTGAGGTGAAATTGGGTTTAACGTCGCGTCCCAGATTATTGCACTTATATAGCGATGTGCATGCACATGAATGTAAGTGTGTGGCTGCTTGTACTAGTCCGGACTGTTGCCAATTTATAGTGCTAGCTCACTGAGATGCCATGCCGCAGTTTAACATGAATACCCCACTCAGACAGAGTATACCGACTCCGAGCCGACCAGTCCTTGTTTTAGCCCCTTAATGCCGAGCGCCAGACAGGGTAACAACAAGTACCATCTTTTAACGTCTTTTTGTATGACACGGCCGGGGATCGAACCCCGGACCTTCCGCTCTCCGGGCGGACGCTCTACCACAAGACCACGGAGGCGGTCGCATGCACGTGTGTGTGTATGTGTGCGTCTGCTTGTACTAGTCCGGACCGATGACGATTTATAGTGCTATCTCAGTAAGATACCATTCCGCAGTTGAACATGAATACCCACTCACCAGCTGATGAAGCACCGGTATAAGAGCAGGGGTCAAAACCATAAGATTTTACGCTGTTGACCCACAGATTACGTGTCTTCCTTATATTTTTATATTCTTCTTTTACCTGTTTCAGTTGCTTTACACATCCTTGGCGCAGGACGGAGCTTAATTTAAGCAAACGCATCTTATCGAATGGCGAGCCAATGTCAAAGTTACAAAACACTCATTCGCCCTCCATGCACATGTACCGGAAGTAAACAACACGCTTGCGCAATGTTTTCACTTATGGCTGTCGTTAAAGTTCTTGTCGCTCCAACGATTCTTATATGTGATCATTTCACATACTTTCTGCATCTAGTTTCATAGATATATAACTGGTTGATTAGCATAACACGATACGTTCTTTCAGTGTCACTTTTGCAACATGCCATAAACGGCACTATTATGCCTTTTCTTGTGGTAGACCGTTCAGGTTTGTTTGTCGAGTCCATTTAATATGTTCTTTTTGTGCTCATTATCATCATAGAATTGCACCAGGCAGGTTCTGTGGATTGATGTTTAGGTGTAAGCGCAGTTGTCAGTTTCCTGATGTGTCTCCCATTGGACATATGTAGACTGCTGAACTTGGAATCACTCATTCAGTCATTGACACCTGGAATGTCATTTATTGGGCAGTACCGAATTCGACGTAATAAGCGACCAGGGCGCTCTCAAAATTAGAAATAGGGGGCTCTTGTTAGAATATCATTTGGGTGAAAGAGTTGAAAGATCGTAAATTTCGTGGTTTATGCTGACAGCCTGAAATAATAATAAGAAAAGTCTGTACGTATTAGGCCTATACACGACAGATATATTTTTCCAGAATTTAATTACCCGTAATTAAGGGTGCATATGACACACGAGTGCGTATTATACACGAATAAAAAGGTCTTGTGTGCATTGATCAATCGGAAGTTTGCTTATTGGGATTGTTTACTAGCCAATATATTAGCAAATATCGCTGTGGGTGCTTATTAGAGTGGGGCGCTTATTACGTCAAATACGGTAATTAAAATATGTAAACCTCTCATACAGGGTTAGAAATTGGCGCTAGTCCTATAGTCCTTGCCAAACTGCCCAATGGTAAAGGTATCATAAGGACTAGTAGAAAATTGCCATTTTTAAGGGTTTTGCTATATGTTATCATTATGAGGACTAGTGGACGAAAACTGTTAGTTTCTAACGCTGTTATAGGGGGTGTATATATATATATGTCATTGTCAACACGTTAACACTTCTTATTCATTTGCATAAAGACAGACCTAGTTTATGTTATTTCCGCCACATAAGTCCAATATTCATGTGAATCACAGGACCATGTAACTAATAGTAATAATGTACAAATTCAAAACAAATCTGCAACTGCTACATATGTGATCGGTTGGTCAGACTTGGTGACTTTTTTTGTGTGCCATCGTACCCTGACGCTGTGGATTCTTGCTCATGCTATCAATCACTGGAATATTTGATCAAGTCTTGATTATTTACAGGGTGCCACCATGGACATAAAGGTGGAATATTGCTGAATGTGCTATATAGACAAATGTGCCCCAGCAGCAACAACCCCAAAAGCCTTACTATACATTCAAAGTCACAAACTGCCCGTGAAGATTCCGGGGTAGAATAGGTCTTCAGCAACCCATGCTTGCCGTAAAAGGTGACTATGCTTGTCGTAAAAGGCAACTAACGGGATTGGGTGGTCTGGCTCGCATGTCATCGATCCCAATTGCGTGGATCGATGCTCATAATATCGATCACTGGATTGTCTGGTCCAGACTCGATTAATGACAGACTGCCTTCATATAGCTGGAATATTGCTGAGTGCGGCGTTAAACAACAAACAAACAAACCAACCAAAGTCACAAACACATGAATACTTAAATATACATGAAATGTGTGTAAATAATCTGTCCACAAAATTGACGTGATCAGACGTAAAACCTATCATTTTTTTATTCCTAAATAATCCTAAATTTTAACTTGCAAACAATATACAATGTACTTTCATACTTGTCAGCATGCAAGAATCAATCTCGTAGAGGTTCCTCTAACTCCTATGTCGGTTTTCGACCAAAAAAATAGGTTGTTTTGACTAAATAGGCTGGCCTGTTTTGGAACTGGTCGGTTTTGACTGGCACTCATTATATAGCACTATGCAGCCCATGGATCATTGAGTAAAACAAACTCCAGATAAGCTTTTGGTGTTGTGGGTATTATACCTATGCATTTTAAAATCATTGTGTTTCAGTAATTCTATCTGGGTATTCAAATTTCTGTTGCCCACTAGTTTTTACACTTGTGGGTATTTAAGTTAAATATTTAAAAACACTATTCATCTATTGCCTGCAAACTGGTGTCGTGTGGGTTTGAGGCTTTATAGGACTCAAAAATACCACGATACTTCCACAAGAAAGTGTGATGGCAAATGATCATGATGTAACTGTCATCGTGGAGTTTTGCAAGGTTGACGGAATGCCCGTTTATAATTTCAAAATAAGTTGCTGATTTGCTAATCGAATACGCAGGGTTACTTCACAATATTTTGATGATACGCACAAGTTTTATTTTTGTAGTGTATCTGTAATGTTTGTTGCGTATTTGATACGCTTGGATTATATTTTACTGTGTATTTCTGCATTTCTGAAGCGTATTTTACGCAGATACGCAGCTTATCTGGAGCTCTGGTAAAAGTAAATATTTCTCAAGCCTCTCACTCACCTATTTAGGGTTAGAAACTAACAGTTTTCGTCCACTAGTCCTCATAATGATAACATATAGCAAAACCCTTAAAATTGGCCAATTTCTACTTGTCCTTAGGATACCTGTACCATTGGGCAGTTTGGTAAGGACTACAGGACTAGTGCCAATTTCTAACGCTGCTATTACCATTTCAGATACCATGACATTAGCCAAATCAGAGAATTGGGGCGGCATAATTCTGATCAGGTCAGTAACCCTTTCATACCAATTACAATAGCAACTTCAGATATCCAGAAGGGCTGGTTAAAGCGATTCCCCACATGGGTACAATGTGTGAAGCCCATTTCTGGGGGCCCATGATATTACTGGAATATTGCTAAAAGCGGCGTAAAACTATACTCACTCACTCACTCAGACATCAAGCTACTTCAGGTCACTTATAGGCCTAGTCATCTAAGGTGCTGCAATACTCTGTGCAGAGTTACCTCCCTTGGGCGCAACAGAAACCTATGTGCAAATACCGGTTTACCCCAATTTTGTTTCTAGGTTTTTTTTGCATCATACCTGCACCACTTATGGCTTTGCTCCCAGGTCAAGCTGACACGCAGTGATATGACTGAAATACTGTTCAAAGCAGTGTGACCCTATAGATCACTATACCTTTGTTCCGGTCCATTTTTGGAAATTCTATTATCAAATTTAGCTAATTCTGCACATAATTTTGCAAACTTTTATGCTTAGTTTTCCTAAATTTGTAGTTTTCCACCTGTTTTGACATGTTTATGATAAGATTATCCATGCCTAGAGGAGCTTATTGAAGTCAATTTGGAGATGACTAGTGTAAAACATACAGACCTGGGCCCCGTTCCACAAAGCGATCTTAGCACTAAGGTGATTTAAGTCCCATACTCTAACATAGGTTTACGATCATCGTAGCGCTAAGATCGCTTTGAGGAACGGGGCCCTGCACTTTCAGTAAGCAATAATACAAAAGTCAACATCACTTCAAAATGAAATATATGTCCGTTTACATATTTGTTACGACCTGTGAAGATTCCGGGGTAGAATAGGTCTTCAGCAACCCATGTTTGCCGTAAAAAGGTGACTGTGCTTGTCGTAAAAGGCGACTTATGGGATCGGGTGGTTAGGCTCGCTGACTTGGTTGATGCATGTCATCGATTCCCAATTGCGTGGATTGATGCTCATGATATCAATCACTGGATTGTCTGGTCCAGACTCGATTATTTACAGACCGCCATCATATAGCTGGAATATTGCGGAGTGCGGCGTTAAACAACAAACCAACAACCAACCAACCAACATATTTGTTACCAGCTTTCAACTCACCTGTTAAAGATTTGCAGTATATTTGATGAATTCTGCAGCAGATAAATGCCAAATTCTGCACAAGGTCTGCACAAAATGTGATTTTTCTGCAAGAAAGGTACATTTCTGCACTGCATGGGCATTTCTGCAAAATATTTGTGGAATACAGCGGGAACTGCTTGGTATGAGACACTGTTGTCGGTCAAGTCTGATTTAAGTTGAAAGCTATGCATCATTTTTAAGTGCATGTTGTCTGTACTGTCTTCTAGAATGTGGTTTAGGTTCTAGCAGTCATCAGATTACGGGGCAGTCGGGGAGCCTAGTGGTTAAAGCGTTCGCTTGTCACGCCGAAGACCGGGGTTCGATTCCCGACATGGGTACAATGTGTGAAGCCCATTTCTGGTGTCCCCAGCCGTGATATTGCTGGAATATTGCTAAAATCGGCGTAAAATCAAACTCACTCACTCATCAGTTTACCGATCCAACACAGTAAGGCTCAGTCCAGTAAAATATTAGACAAAATTGAAATTCCAGATTCCAAGTTTATTACTCCTGTGCATGTCTCTACTTCAGTGAGCCTGTACATGCAATGTGTATGGATGTATACTCACTGCCAAAAGAAACGCAAACCATAGAAACATATAGAGAAGTAAGTACATTAAGAAGAGATGTTGCCAATGTGTACCACTTAATGACAAAACTAACAATCAGTCAAGTGTTACCACAGAGTGTCTTATTCTTAAAGATATGCTGCACCTGATTTCCAAACGTTATTTGCTAATCGTGCACGAGGCAAATGGTGCATCTCGAGTCATGGATCTATGACATCACATGTGATGCGTTCATTGGTGTCAGTTCACACAATATAGCAGTATGTTTGTTTGTGAGTCGAACCAAATCTAATATCTCTTGCATATGAGTAATTTTACATATATTAACCAACATGTAAGGTATTCACGTTTCTTTTGTCGTTGAGTATATTTGGTAAAAGGACTATGGATGGCTGAAGTTTGACCTGATGTAGCATGCAATGCTAAAAACCAATATGGAGAACCCAGTGAATCTCTGTCGCCCTTGCGACCAAAGAACGTAAAACAGAGCTACAGATAAGCGGCATATTTGCGTAAAATACTCCCCAAAAATATTCAAAACCCAATTACTTTCAATCATCATGCGTACAAAAACATGTGCATTAAAGGAAAAACTCAAATGTATAAAAACAGCACGTGTAAATACCCAATGAAGCTTTTTTAGCATGCGTACAACGGAGCTAATTTCCGAAACACAATTGTGAGCTAATTCACTTTCTGAGTCCAGCCTTTTATATTTAGAACAGTTATAAGAACATTATTTCATTTTTTTAAAATCTTAAAAATGTTCACTAATTTTGGGAAAAACCCAATAGAGTAATGAATAGATGAGTGAAATAATATTGGTTACCCAATGAAAAATGTTATAACCCAATTAAAATAGAACCCTAGAGTAAAAACTCAATTGCTCAAAAAGTTATCTGGACCTCTGGTAGAACAAATGTTTTATAGTAGCACTTCCGGTGGATGCACATGATTGCAAACCACTAAATAAAATATTACTGTTAGTGATACTTGTAACGGCACATTGTCATTATCTTTCATTAACATCTTATTCAACTTATTGTTAGTTAGTGTCTGTTTGACTTCTATTAAACAATTATTACAATAAAATTTGTGTATTTGTATTGTGCTGAACTCGTCACACAAGGTGTATGCTCAAAGCGCTAACATTATTACCATTATTATCAATGGATTCTCAGCTCCCTGGGGAGTGTACAACCCAAGCTGCCTGTGAGGCACTAGAAGCTTAACAGCCACATAACCATTTTTTTCATGTGTAAACCAGAGAATATTTTTAGATTATCATAAAATACCATAGTTATCATCATCGTATGGTTGAATTAAACTTCACTGTTAGAAATGTTGCCACGTGAATTAAAAATGATACACAACAACCTTGAGAAAAGAATATACCTGGACTGTGGTCTTTCAATTACACCTTGTCATGGATGTTCTGTGGCTTAAAGTGTTTGCTCAATTTTGAGCTTGTTTTTTTTTAAAACTAACTTATGGTCCATAAGAGGAGTGAGTGAGTTGGTTTTTAACGCCACTTTTAACAGTATTCCAGTTATATCACGGTGTGTCAGCTTAATGTGGGAGGAAAGCCCGAAGTGATGCAGGTCTCATTCACCAACGAGCACGGGTATGGTTCTGACAAAACTAGAAACATAATCGGGGCCAACCTGGATTCGAACCCACAATCATAGGTGTCTGGCGTGCCCAAGGGACGCAACTCTGTACAGCGAATCGCGGCACCTTAGACGACTGGGCCACCCGTGCCCTGGTCATAAGAGGCCATTACATGTCTGTTTGTTTGTTTGTTTGTTGTTTAATGCCGCACTCAGCAATACATGTATTACAGCTATATGGCTGAGGTCTGTAAATAATCCAGTCTGGTCGAGACAGTCCAGTAATTGACATCATGAGCATTGAGCCTAGTAATTGGGATATAATGACATGCATCAACCAAGTCAGCGAGTCTGACCACCCGATCCTGTTAGTCACCTCTTACCACAAGCATAGTTGCCTTTTACCCACCATGCGTTGCTGAAGACCTATTCTAACCCAGATCTTCATGGTTACATGTCTGTAAGAGGTGATGGGTTACATGTCTGTAAGAGGTGACTAAATACACCCACAGCAGACTGCCTCCATGGTCTAGTGGTAGAGCGTCCGCCCAGAGAGAGGAAGGTTTGGGGTTCGATCCCCAGCCGCGTCATACCAAAAGTCGTTAAGAGATGGTACTTGTTGTTACCGTCTGGCGCTCGGCATTAAGGGACTTAAGCAACGACTGGTCGGCTCCTAGTCAGTAACTGTGCCTGATTTGGGTATTCATGTTAAACTGGGCATGGTATCCCAGTGGGCTAGCACCATCAATCGGCATCAGTCCGAACTTGTACAAGCAGCCACACTTGTACAAGCAGCCACACACGCATGTCCCTATATTAGTGCAATAATCATGGAGGCGATGTTGTACCCCTTTTCACCTCGCCACATCTCCAGGAACCAATGCTAATCGTAACAGGCGATTAAATGTTCATAAGAGGTGACTAAATGGTCGTAAGATGCGACTAAATACGTTTTCTGCAATCTATGCTGGTCGTAAGAGGCAACTACATGGTTGTTAGAGGTGACTAAGTACGTCTTTAGCAACCTAACGGGGTCATAAGAGACGACTAAATGGTCGTTAGATGCGACTAAATACGTCTCTAGCAACCTATCCTGGTCGTAAGAGGCAACTACATGGTCGTTAAAGGCGACTAAATACGTCTTTAGCAACCTATCCTGGTCGTAAGAGGCGACTACATACGTCTCTAGCAACCTATCCTGGTCGTAAGTAACTACTAAATGGTCGTTAGAGGCGACTAAATACGTCTTTAGCAACCTATCCTGGTCGTAAGAGGCGACTACATACGTCTCTAGCAACCTATCCTGGTCGTAAGTAACTACTAAATGGTCGTTAGAGGCGACTAAATACGTCTTTAGCAACCTATCCTGGTCGTAAGAGGCGACTACATACGTCTCTAGCAACCTATCCTGGTCGTAAGTAACTACTAAATGGTCGTTAGAGGCGACTAAATACGTCTTTAGCAACCTATCCTGGTCGTAAGAGGCGACTAAATACGTCTCTAGCAACCTATCCTGGTCGTAAGTAACTACTAAATGGTCGTTAGAGGCGACTAAATACGTCTTTAGCAACCTATCCTGGTCGTAAGAGGCGACTACATACGTCTCTAGCAACCTATCCTGGTCGTAAGTAACTACTAAATGGTCGTTAGAGGCGACTAAATACGTCTTTAGCAACCTATCCTGGTCGTAAGAGGCGAC